CAGCCGTGGGCTGAAGGGTTCCTCATGCTTGGGCAGAGTGAACGTCCTGGCCTGAGGAGGTGCTGAGAGCCAGCGAGGGCTGCTAGCACATTGTCACCTCTCAACAGCTTACTGCAGCCTCAAACACCTGGGCTCAAGGAATCCTCCTGGCTCAGCCTCCTGAACAGCTAGGACTATAAGTGTGCTGCTACAACTGGATGATGTTTTAATTTTTATTGTGTAGAGACAGGGTCTCGCTATGTTGCCCAGGCTGGTCTCGAACTCCTGGGTTCAAGTGATCCTCTGTTCAAGTGATCCTCCCACCTTGGTTTCCCAAAGTGTTAGGACTATAGGCATGAGCCACCACAGCCAGCCCTAATCTCTATCTTTTAACTGGATCATTTACTCCATTTAGTTTTATAGTAATTACTGATATACTGATGCAATAACATTATTCTATCATGTTATTTTGTGCTATTTGTCCTGACTTTTTCATGAATTTTTCCCTCTTCTTTATGGCCTTCTTTTGGACTGATTTCTTCCCCTTCCCTTCTTTGTCTCTCTACTAGTTTGGAATTTCTGGAGTGTCACCTAAAAGAGTAGAGAAAGGTGATATTTCTATTTAGCATGCATATTTGAACTTTTCAACATGAAATTAATGTCTTTATCTTTCCCCATGGAAAAATTACCACTGTTACCCCCTCTAAATTATATCCTCTTGTCATGTATTTATCTTTTCTTTTAACCCCACAAGACATAATATTAATAGGATAATTACAATTATTATTACTTTATAGAATTAATATCTTTTTTTTTTCCTTTGAGATGAAGTCTTACTCTGTTGCCCAGGCTGGAGTGCAGTGGCACGATCTCAGCTCACTGCAACATCCACCTCCTGGGTTCAAGTAATTCTCCCACCTTAGCCTCCCGAGTAGCTGGGATTACAGGTGCCCGTCACTACACCTGGCTAATTTTTGTGTTTTTAGTAGAGACAGGGCTTTGCCATGTTGGCCAGGCTCATCTCAAACCCCTGACCTCAGGTGATCCACCTGCCTCAGCCTCTGAAAGTGCTGGGATTATAGGCGTGAGCCACCACGCCTGGCTGTTGTGTGTTTTATGATTTTTAAATGAGTGGATATACTCCTTGGACATTTATATACTTTTTTTTTTTTTTTTTTGAGACAGAGTCTCGCTCTTTTGCTAGGCTGGAATGCAGTGGCGCGATCTTGGCTCACTGCAACCTCCGACTCCTTGTTTAAGTGATTCTTCTGCTGCAGCACTTAGAATTACAGGCACATGCCACCACACCCAGCTAATTTTTTGTATTTTTAGTAGAGATGGGGTTTCTCACCATGTGGGCCAGGATGGTCTCAATCTCCTGACCTCATGATTCGCCCACCTCGGCCTCCAAAAGTGCTGGGATTACAGGCGTGAGCCATTGCACCTGGCCTATAGAATTATTTTAAGGCCTAAGTTAAAGGTGTGTGCCTACAGAGAACATATGTATTTAAATTTGCCAGTTTGCAGAGGGCACCATGTACTTAAACAACATTACACGAAATTCTTAGTTTGAGATTGTTGTATAACCCAGGTAGTACGAATTCAGGCTGTAAACTCCCTTGAGGATCACCTTGAGGATTATCTAAAATTTCAGGGGAGATTGTAGTTTTCCTCCCTTAGTCAGTGTTAAGGTTTGAGAAAGGCCTTTTCCTTGCCATTTCCTATGGAGTGGTGCAGTGGGAGTTAAGGGGGAGGGGCTATTTCCAGTTCAACCTGACACTGACTTTTAAGTCCTTTAGGGTTCCAGCTCTAGTTGGATGGTATATTAAACTGCATACCTCGGATAGACCTTGGACATTGTCTCCTGTCCCTGTGACCCTAAAAACGGTGAAACAAAAGCTCAAGTTCACCAAGTTCCGCAAATGCCCTCAAGTTAAAACTTTACTTCTGTCCCCCTTCCTCTCTGGGTTCCTACTTTCACATAGTTTTGTCTTTTGAGTATTTCCAATTCTTTTTAAGCTTTGGCCAGAAGTTTTAGTTGTCTGTAGTTACAGTGGGTGTCTAGTGTACCATACCACTGAAACAGAAGCCTGTTACTTTTACAATAATAAAAACATGTCTATGTGGTTTTTTTTTTTAATTTTTAATTTATTTATTTACTTTTTTTTTGAGATGGAGTCTCATTCTGTCGCCCAGGCTGGATGGAATGCAGTGGCGCGATCTTGGCTCACTGCAACCTCTGCCTCCCGGGTTCAAGCGATTTTCCTGCCTCAGCCTCCCGAGTAGCTGGGATTACAGACACATGCCACCATGACTGGCTAAATTTTGTATTTTTGGTAGAGACAGGGTTTCACCATTTGGTCAGGCTGGTCTCAAACTCCTGAGCTCAGGTGATCTGCCCACCTTGTCCTCCCAAAGTGCTGGGATTACAAGCGTTGAGCCACTGCGGCCGGCCAAACATATCTATGTTTTAATTTTTTATGATTATTTTATATTATCCCTTCCCCACACATGAAATAACTTCTTTCCAAGTGACTTATGAGGTTGTCAACTTTTCATAAAGCCTTGGAACAAAGTGGGCAGAAAAATTATAAATAAAAAGTCTTGTTTAGGGTACTACAGGTCTGTCTTATTCCTAAATTAGAATCAGGTTATGCCAGTTTTTTATAACATACCATTTATAATTGGGTATGTTAAAGAATGTATTAGAAATCCCATAGTAACCTCATTATAAGCCTCTTTACCCATGGATTCCAAGGATATCTTACAATAAATCTCTGGGATACCTTATGCTACAGAGCAACTAAAGTCCAGCTTTAGAGCACAAGGGAAATGCAGGATATTGGGTCCTGGAAACTACAAAAACCACCAAACTCTGCTTTAGGGCTAAAACTTTCTTTAATCAATCTGTCATATTTATTGATAAACTAGAAAATGTGGCCAGGTGCAGTGGCTCACGCCTGTAATCCCAACAGTTTGGGAGGCCAAGATGGGTGGATCACAAGGTCAGGAGATCGAGACCATCCTGGCTAACAGTTTAAACCCGTCTCTACTAAAAATACAAAAAATAGCTCCACGTGGTGGCGCGTGCCTGCAATCCCAGCTGCTTGGGAGGCCAAGGCAGGAGAATCGCTGGCACCCGGGAGACGGAGGTTGCAGTGAACCGAGATCACGCCACTGCACTCCAGCCTGGACGACAGAGTGAGACTCCATCTCCAAAAAAAAGTGCAGGTTCAAATTTCATTAAATTTTTTTTCCATGCCCCTTCTCTGCTGGTAGGATGATAGAGGATGAGTAAAATATCAAAGACAACTAAAATTTCCTAAACTAGATCCTCGGCTCCTAAAGAAGTATTAACCATGGAGTGCCGCCATCTTCTGAGGTTGATGCTTCCCGGTATAGGCTCTTGGAACATTCTGGACTGTCTGACATTCCTCTTACTCGCTTTAGAACCGAAAGATGCTGCTGGGGGAAAAGGGAGCTAGGGAGAGGGAGGGGAAAGATGTGGGATAGGCATAAACTGTGCTTTTGGGGAAAAAAACCCCAGTAATTTCCTGATTGAGTTGTGCTTGGCTTTAAAATGTAGAAAGCTTTAGGAAGCTTGACTCAGAAGCCTTGTGCTTCTACCATTAGTGCTGCATTTGTTTGCTTAAGATTTCATTAACTTCTTAAAATAGAGATACTTCTGGACTCAAGTGGCTTACTGAGCAGGAATGGCAAATCAGTGACACTATAGGAAGTGGAGGGATTGTGGCAAACTACAGAACACACCCTTCCACAGGGCAAGCACTGTCGGCTTGCGGCCGCTGTTCATCTGCAGGGGCTTGCATCTTGAGACTATTTACGAATCGACTCGCATTTTATGAGAAATGTCATGATTTTTAGGTTTAACAAGTTATCCCCCATTAAAAATAATAATTTAAGCCGGGGCTGGGCGCGTGCTCCCGCCTGTACAACTTTGGGAGGCTGAGGTGGGTGGCGATCATGGGTTCCAGTTGGAGGGCCATATGCCACATGGTGTAAACCCTGTCTTCTACTTAACACACACAATTGCTGGCGTGGTGGCGGGGCGCTGTAACCCCAGCTCCTTGGAGCGAAGGCAGGAGGATGCTTTGAAACCTGGTGGAGGTGGAGAGGTTGCCGTGAGCAGAATCGTGGCCCAGCCTGGGCACAGTGCGAGCTCCATCTCAAAACCACAGCACACACACACAAAAACAAAAACAAAAAAACCGGAAGAGAAGGCCAAACAAAGCACATCTTGGACCCCGGATGCCTCCATGCCCCACGGTTTGCGCACCCTTTGTGTGGGCTTCTTCTTGTTCACCAGACACCTGCCTGCGAGAAGTATTCTCATCCTCTGCTGGGCGGGTTTGGCAGGCACAGGTGAGGAGAGGGATGAGAAAGAAATGCAGGGACACTTATGGCGAACCGTGAGTGGCGAGAGGAGAAGGAGGGTGGTGGAGCAAACAGAGCCATGACAACTTTCATAGTTCTGAGCGGACTGGGCAGCGTGCAGGAAATCCTTGGTGGTGATATGCTGCCTTCTCAACAGCGTGATATGAAAGAACACGTCAAGGCCACTGGTTCAGGGATGCTGTAACTTCACGATGTTGAACTTTTTTGGGGTCATTCTTTCCCATGTGGGAGTTCAAATGAGAATGTACAAAAGAACTTTCAGTGAGGAAAGTGCAATAATCCCTGGTAAGGTAACAAAGTTCATAACACTTTTTACATGGCAACATTCTCTATCATGATTAATAGATCGGCTACAGATTGCCATGAGGACCTTCCTTGTCTTATTGCCACCCCCAATATATTAAAAACTTGCTTACACATCACTTTAGCTTATTTAGATGGACTTGTCACCAAGCTCTGAACTGGGATTTCACTGTGTTGCATTCATCCTGTCATGAGACACAGGTGGGCAGCAAATGAGATTATCCCTCCATTCCCTATGGATTGGAAATGTTGCCACTTGTTTATGAGCCTACTGCAGTATCTCCTTCTCCCTTTTCCCAAAGGACAGCCTTTCCTGCCTCAGGGAAGAAGAGAGAGACAGACTACAGTGATGGAGACCCACTGGATGTGCACAAGAGGCTGTCGTCCAGTGCTGGAGAGGACCGAGCCGTGCTGCTGGGGTTTGCCATGATGGGCTTCTCAGTCCTAGTGTTCTTCTTGCTTGGAACAACCATTCTAAAGCCTTTTATGCTCAGGTAAGAAACAGAGGAAGGAAATCTAGAGTTTCTGATTCAGATAAGATCCAGGCACAACGGTAAAGGAGGAGAGGCTGGCTTTGGTTTCTCAATCTGTGACTCTCTGACGTGGTCTAGAAAAAGAAAAACGCAATTCCTCTTCCTCTCTCAGTGCTGGGGGCAGCTGGGTGTGGCGGAAGAGGTGGTGAGAAGGTCAAAGATATTCCCCTGCACTGCCTCCTCCGTTCTCATAATCTATATATACCTCCAAACACGTAATCCACAAATTATAGTTTATTCATTTAGGTCATAAATCCTCACTTAAAATGTTAGTATTCCAGGAGAGAGTTAAACCTTGTATGCAAGCAAAATAAAAGTTTTTTGAGTCTGATTTTTTGAGTTTGACAGTGTCTACCTGGCACATAGTAGTTGCTCAATACATATTCGTTTCCTTCGTTTTCTTTTAATTAGGTTCTTTATTCAGTGCATGTAGTGATACAGTTGACCCTTGAACAACATGGATTTGAACTTCGAGAATTCACTTATAAATGAATTTTCTTCTGTGCGTGCCACCCCGAGACAGTAAGACCAATCCCTCCTCTTTCTCCTCCTCCTCAGCCTACTCAACATGAAGAGGATGATGATCCACTTCCATTTAGTGAACAGTAAACATGTTTTCTCTTCCTTATGATTTTTTTCTTCAACTTTTATTTTAAGTTCTGGGGAACATGTGCAGAATGTGCAGGTTTGTTATAAAGGTAAACGTGTGCCATGGTGGTTTGCAGCACATATCAACCCATCACCTGGGTATTAAGCCCAGCATGCGTTAGCTATTCTTCCTGATGCTCTCCCTCCCCTTGCCCACTGAGAGGCCCCAGTATGTGTAGCTCCCCGCTATGTGTCCATGTGTTCTTATCATTCGGTTCCCACTAAGTGAGAACATTCAGTGTTCGGTTCTCTGTTTCTGCATTAGTTTACTGAGAATAATGGCTTCCAGCTTCATTTCATACATGTTCCCGCAAATGACATGATCTTGTTCTTCCTCATGATTTTCTTTTCTTTTCTTTTTTTCTGAGACAGAGTCTTGCTCTGTTGCCCGGCTGGAGTGCAGTGGCACGATCTTGGCTCACTGCAACTTCCGCCTCCTGAGTTCAAGCAATTCTCCTGCCTCAGCCTCCTGAGTAGCTGGGACTGCAGGCACCTGCCACCACACCCACTAATTTTTGTATTTTTAGTAGAGATGGGGTTTCATCATGTTGGCCAGGCTGGTCTTGAACTCCTGACCTTGTGATCTGCCTGCCTCGGCCTCCCAAAGGGCCAGGATTACAGGCGTGAGCCACCATGCCTGGCCATGATTTTCTTAATAACATTTTCTTTTCTCTAGCTTATTTATTTATTTTTTTTTTAGAGAAGGGGTCTTGCTCTGTCACGCTGGAGTGCAGTGGTATGATCATAGCTCATTGCAGTCTTGAACTCCTGGGCTCAAGCAATCTTCCCATCTCAGCTTCCTGAGTCAGTGGGATTACAGGTATGAGCTACTGTGCCTGGCTATTCTAGCTTATTTTATTGTAAGAATTCAGTATATAACACATATAAACACAACATATGTCTTAATCAACTATTTATTGGTAAAGCTTCCAGTCAACAGTAGGCTATTAGTAGTTAAGGTTTTTTTTTTTTTTTTTTTTTTTTGATGCACAGTCTCACTCTGTCACCCAGGCTGAAGTACAGTGGCGCAATCATGGACTGCAGCCTAGACCTCCTGGGCTCAGGCGATCCTCCTGCCTCAGCCTCCCAAGTAGCTGGGACCACAGGTGTGTGCCACCACACTTGGCTAATTTTTAAAGTATTTGTAGGGATGGGGTCCCCCTATGTTGCCCAGGCTGGTCGTGACCTCCTAGGCTCAAGTCATCCTTCCACCTTCGCCTCCCAAAGTGCTGGAATTATAGGCATGAGCCACCATGCCTGACCAGTAGTTAAGTTTTTGAGGAGTCAAAAGTTACATGCAGATTTTCGACTGCAGGGTTGGGGGTGTGATGTTGGCATCCCTAAACTCTGAATTGTTCAAGGGTCAACTTTAGTTGCTACTTATTAAGTATATGCTGTATGCTCAGTACATACTATATTTTATCCTACTTAAACCTACAGCAGCCCATGATAGAAGTGCTGAGGCTCAGAAAGGCCAAGTAACTTGCCCAAGTTCACATAGCCAGTAAATAATATGCCTGTCATTCTGATGTAAGACTTGCTTCTTAATACCTAAATGAAGTTTGCTGAAATAAGGGGAATAGGGGTTCTGATTAGGGAAGGGGAGGAGCTATTTAATTTTGTAGGATGGCCCATACAACATATGGTACTTTGGGGCCAGGTCAGTTCAGGGTAAAAGGAAGGCAAGGGGTGCTTTTTGGACAGTGCTTTATTTTTGAACAGCCCCCACTTTTGTTTTTGACAGCCAAAGAGCAACAGAAGGCCCAGGGGGAGTAGAAGAGGAAGGCCTAGGAGTTCAGTGAGGGAAAGGGGTCATAAAAAGGAAGAGAGTGGCCTACTTCTGTTATTTATGATTCATCTCCTGCCATTCCTAGGTTACCATTGTTAGGGGAAAGATATAGAGGTCACCATTTACCACAGCATACAGTGCCACTATTGGAAGAATTCCAGAAGAACCTTCTCTCTGGTATTAGCACCAGGAGAAGTTGTGCTGCTCCTGATCAACCAGCTTACTTTCATTTAATGGACACCAGGAATCTTGTATCTGGTTGTATTTCCTTCATTGCTTTGGCTGCTAGGAAGCCCAGAGGCAAATTTGTAGCTCAGTTCTCATAACTACAAGGGATCTATGGTCTGCAGGTTACATGTTTGTACCTCACTTTTTTTTAAACTTTTTTTTTTCCGAGATGGGATCTCACTATGTTGTCCAGGCTAGTCTCAAACTCCTAGGCTCAAGCGATTCTCCTGTCTTGGCTGTACCTCACTTCTGACTTCATTCTGTCTTTTTTTCCTCTTTTTCATTTACTCCTTTTCCCCTTATCCTTTATATATATATATATCTGCATTACATGTCTATACAATGTGATTGAATGTTTGAATGTATGGGAATGTTGAGTAAATGTGCATGTGTGTGCACAGGCAGATCAGATTATTTTTAAAAATGTGACATATTTGGGAGATGGCTTGAGGGTACCTTCTGCAAGCTGGTACCAAACTGTTGCTCATAATTAAGTTTCACTTTTCTAAGCATTCCTGGAAATTATTTGGTTAAATTAAGTGAGTGCCTAAGAGTGGTGAGTTCTAATCTCTCTCAACTTACGTGTTGTGCCATCTCAGAGAGTAGGTTTGCTCCATAAAGGGTGGTATTAAGTTAAAAAGGCCTGGGTAGCTCATACCTATCCTACTCCCTCAGCCTCTCATCTCTCAGTCAAATGATGAATTTTGTCACAGCTGTAGCCAAATACACACCTGATGCTATTGAAGGAACATGCTCATTTTTGAGCCCTGAATACATCCCTGGTTCCACCTGAAAGGCTCTGACTGGGGCCTTGTGCATAGGACAGCATGTCCTACTCTATTTTGGAGCTTTCTAAAATCTTCAAGGAAAATTCAAATCATACTCAGTTCAGTACTTGGTCAAGATTTAGAGAGCTCAAGTTCTAACAGATAAAAAGGTAACTCTAAATTATTATTTCAAGATGCCTAGTTAAAAGAAGTATATAAATTAATTTAGTGAAAAAGCAGACTAAATTAATTTAGTGAAAAAGCAGTGCTAAATCTATGAAAGAATCTTATTTTCCATTTTTGTATTTTCACTTGCCCAATATTTTTTCTTAGGCCATATCTAGTGATTTTTATACCCCGGACCTTGAGGTTATGTTAAACTGCATGGCGTGTCTCAAGTTTGTTGTATTAATAAGGGAGAATGATTATTTTGGTCAAAGAGATTAATGAGAGTGCATTATGAACCTAGCTAAATATTGCCTTTAAAACATTCTTACTTTTTTTTTTTTTTTGAGAGGGGGTAGGACAGAGTCTGGCTCTGTTGCCCAGGCTGGAGTGCAGTGGCACAATCTTGGCTCACTGCAACCTCTGCCTCCCGGGTTTAAGCAATTCTCCTGCCTCAGCTTCCCGAGTATCTGAGATTACAGGTGCCCGCCACCACACCCAGCTAATTTTTGTATTTTCAGTGAAGATGTGGTTTTGCCATGTTGGCCAGGCTAGTCTCAAACTCCTGGCCTCAAGTGATCTGCCCACCTCGGCCTCCCAAAGTGCTGGGATTATAGGCATGAGCCACTGCCTGGCCCTGCTTTTCAAACATTCTGACTTTAGAGCTTGCTAATCTGACTTACTATGTTTAAGGAAGCAGTAAGTAAACACAGGGGTCCCCCTACATGTGAGTGTGAGGGTATATAAAGAGCCGGTCCCATACATTAAATCAAAACATTTCCTCTTCCCTTCGTTTACTTTGTCTTGGACTTGTTTTCAAATTATTTCATACATATACACATGTCCTTTCTTTTCAACATCACCACAAGATCTTCATGGCAGGAATTTTGTTTGTAATTTCTCATAGCACCTAGGATGTTTTGCATATGTAGTACGTGTGAAAATTCTCAATAAATTTTTTCCAAGTAGAATTTAATTCAGGCCAGGAGTGGTGGCTCACGCCTGTAATCCCAGCACTTTGGGAGGCCAAGGCGGGAGGATCACGAGGTCAGGAATTCAAGACCAGCCTGGCCAATGTGGTGAAACCTCATCTCTACTAAAAATACAAAAAATTAGCTGGGCATGATGGTGCACACCTGTAATCCCAGCTACTCAGGAGGCTGAGGCAGGAGAATCACTTGAAACCAGAAGGTGGAGATTGCAGTGAGCCGAGATCGTGCCATTCCAGCCTGGGCAACAAGAGCGAAACTCCATCCCCACCTCCAAAAAAAAAAAATGTAATTCAGTACAGCACTTACTGAACATCTACTCAGTGAGAGGCATTCTGTTTCGTGCTTTGAGGAACACACAGATGAATTGGACGTAGCTCCTGACCTCAAGGAACTTAACTGATAGCAAAAATATTGTAAGTATTCTACGAGAGATTCCATGTATGATTTGCACTTGCCTCTTTGAAAGTAGTGGGTATGTGGAATTGTACCTTGTTGCTAGCAATTGTGTAGGCTATGTTGACCAACGGCCCCGTAGTTGGACTCCTTCCAAAGGCACATTTTCATCAGGACAAGCCAGTGCATCTTGAGATGATGAAGCATGAGAGATGATGAGATTCCTGAGTGAGTGTGAATCTTGGTGGTTACAGTATTATGGTAATGCTAACACTGTTTACACTGTGCTTCTCCAAATACCTGCATCTTAAATACTATTGAATATAAAGATTCCTGGGCCTCAAGTCAGACCTACCAAACCAGAATCTCTGGAATGAAGCTCTGGAATCCACAGTTTAACAAATTCTTCATTCTAACAAACTCACAGGTGATTCTGAAGTTTGAAAACCATTGTTACAGTGAGAAATATGCCAGTAGGATCATCAGAAGTGAGGTGGAACTTGGCACTTCGCGGCTCTTTACCCCAACTCTTTGTCTTCTGTGCTCCCTGATTATTAGGTGCCTGCTGTAAGGATCCTGTGCCACCTCAAAATACACAAATGCCTTGTTCACAGATGCCTTGGGCATTGTATACATAAGCTCATAACCACACTGAAATGTAGAACGAAATTTTCTAGTAAGTGAAGAACATTTATTTTTTTCAAATTGAAGTGCTCAGAGAGAAGAATCGACCTGCACTGCCATCCACACAGATATCATGGACCACAGGCTGGACTGTGCCTTCACCTGTGGTGTGTACTGCCGCGGTCAGGGGAAGTACCCATGTCTTCAGGTGTTGGTGAACCTCACCCATTCAGGTCAGAAAGCTCTCCTACATTATAATGAAGAGGCTGTCCAGATAAATCCCAAGGTATTGTAAAGTTTAAAGAGTTCTTATGACAGCAACCCTTCCCTGCCAGACTGTCCCTAGCAGGGTACATAAATAACCCAGGGCTGTCTTTAGGGATAGATCTGTTTTTTTTTTTTTTTTTTGAGTAAATATTTTTATAGTGATCAAATCAGGATAAATGAAGCTTTCTTCTTGGTGGAGAAATGGGGTATATAGAAAGGAGATAAATTATTCCAATTTCACAATTTGGTGTCTGGAATTTATACGCGAAGCCAATGAGTAGTCATTTGTGGGGAGTGTTTCTTTTGGAGATTCCACTCCCCATCATATCAAAATGCTACAATGTACTCACAGTCTCCCTTGAATCAAGCGAGTAATTTTTCTTATCAAATAAATGTAAAGATTAGCATTTTTAATAAATTACACAATGGGTTCTTATGATTTAACAAATTATAGAAATGATCCCTGAAAGTATAGTCTTTCATATGATTTAAAATTTGTATTTATACCTAACTATAAAAAGTTGAGTTGTGTTAGATTAGTTGACGTGTTACACTTTATTGTCTTTAAGCATCAATTTCAATCTGATGACTTTTGTTTTCTGTTTTGGATGCAATGATTTTTAACATTTCAAACATTTTGTAGGCCTTTAGCACAGTACCTCAAGTACCTAATGGATATGGTAATAAACCTCAAGCTTTTTTGAAAAAAGTCACCAGCTGACAGAGCTCCCTTCTCCACTGGTTCTGTCTCTCAGAAACCAAAGCCCAGGTGGGGCTCCCTCTCTGTGAGTCTAGAGCAAAAGCCTCCATGTGCTTTTCTTCAGGGTAATATTTTGCTACAGGAGATCAAGACAGAGACAACAGAGACATTACTAGGCGCTGAAAGTTCATAGGCTCAATACATTTTTGTTCAATGGACAAATGGATTCATACTGTCCAAGAGACCAAGAACCTGCATGTGGGGAGGAGTCATATTCCTTACGAAGTTGGTCACTGACTCTCCTGCAATGTCATATAAACTAAGAATTCCCTTCCACATCCTTGCTTAATGACTGGAAATGGCCATTTCACTGTGGCCCTCCAATCAACCTTTTCCCATGAGCTATGTAATATTTTACCACCTTCTAAGATTGAAACTGCCCACTAATAACTTCAACCTGAAGTTATTTCATAATAAAAACTGTTAAGTATTTGGTATTGGTGACAGTGCCTTTATCTTTTTCCCTCCTCCATATTCCTAGTGCTTTTACACACCTAAGTGCCACCAAGATAGAAATGATTTGCTCAACAGTGCTCTGGACATAAAGGAATTCTTCGATCACAAAAATGGAACCCCCTTTTCATGCTTCTACAGTCCAGACAGCCAATCTGAAGATGTCATTCTTATAAAAAAGTATGACCAAATGGCTATCTTCCACTGTTTATTTTGGCCTTCACTGACTCTGCTAGGTGGTGCCCTGATTGTTGGCATGGTGAGATTAACACAACATCTGTCCTTACTGTGTGAAAAATATAGCACTGTAGTCAGAGATGAGGTAGGTGGAAAATTACCGTATATAGAACAGCATCAGTTCAAACTGTGGAGTATGAGGAGGAGCAAAGGAAGGAGCAGAGAAATCTTAAGACTGTGGCCAAATTAAAGTGCTGGCCTTCAGATGTCTGTGATTTCTGCAACTGAGGACCTAATTATGCCTGTCTGCAAACTAACAATGTAAAAGGTAATAATTAAAGTTAAGTATCATATTTTCATGTGGGAAAAAAATTTAAAAGCCTCATTTTGTATTCTATTTATTTCTGTAAATACATACAAATTCACTATCTTTTCTAATCCCAATCTCTTTCCAAACGAGCTAAGGAAGCACTTTTTTTTCCTGTGTAGCAAAATGAGTTCAAGATATTCTTTACCTAATTTCAGCTCTAGCTAGAACCAGTCAATATGGAAATAAACAATGACGGTATCTAACCTACTGAACACTGAACTATCAGCCTAACTATGCAATATAGTCACACTAAAATATTTTTCATAAAAAAGTTCTTAACAGTTTGTTCACTATACGAAGATAAAAATCTGGTAGAAAGCTTAAGAAAACATGGACCTAACATATTAATTATAGTTTTTTTCTTTTCTTTTTCCTTTTTGAGATGGAATTTTGCTCTTGTTGCCCAGCCTGGAGCGTGGTGATGTGATCTGGGCTCACTGCGACCTCTGCCTCCTGGGTTCAAGCAGTTCTCCTGCTTCAGCCTCCCAAGTAGCTGGGATTACAGGCGTGTGCCACCCGCCCAGCTAATTTTTGTATTTTTAGCATAGACAGGGTTTCACCATGTTGGTCAGGCTGGTCTTGCCTGACCTCGGGTGATTTGCCCGCCTCAGCCTCCCAAAGTGCTGGGATTACAGGCATGAGCCACTGCACCCAGCCTTGGTTTGTTCTTTACCAGTCTACACAGCAGAGGAAAGCTGCTGCCTAGAAAATTCACTGAGTTTAGAGTTACTAGTATTTAACCTTGGCATGTACCATGTAATTTTTCTTTCAGTAATATTTTTCTAGTTAATTATGCTTTTCATAAGCTCATTTCACTCTGTGCACTTTCTGGTGGGAAAAATGGGCCAGAAATATGAAGAAGCTATACTGGATTTCAACATTCATCTCAGATGATCCACATCGTATTAGGTTGGTGCAAAAGTAATTCCAGTTTTTGCCGTTACTTTTAATGGAGAAAAACTGCAATTACTTTTGCATCAACCTAATAGCAAAGTCCCACAAGTTTAGTCAACAATTGTCTGTACTTTAATTGATGAATCAACCATGGTTATTAAATGATGTCATAAGGCTCTCAACAAATGCTTTCCAGATTGGTTATGCCGAATCTATGAGTGGAAAAGAGAGTTTGGTCTGATTTTCCAAAGTGCCTCCAAGTATCCTTAAAATTTTATTATACTAAAAAATCTTAAATTATGGACAGTAGAATGAGACATTTGAAGCTACTTTTATATGTAGATGTAATAAAAAAACTGATTCTAAGTCAGTTTAATGCCTTTTAGCAATTTCAAGACACACATTACTAATTCAGCTGAATAGAGCAATATTGACTTGATTAGTAATGAATAATCTTGGTGTTTTCCTCTTTCAAGTGTGCAGCGGTGGAAAGAACATGTGTCTCAGATTAGGATTTATTGGACTTTGTAGGCCATAATTACAACTTTGGGCAAATCAGCTAACCGGTCTAAACCTCTCTTTTCTCATCTATAAAATGGGGATAACCTGTTCTTTCACGCAGTTATTTTATAGAAGCAGCAAAGTAGGGCATGTGAAACACTTTAGCAGAGCTTCTAGCATCTAGTAGGGGCACTCAAAAGCTTAGATAATTTATTTAAAAATCTGCTGGGTTGTAACATTCAGTGAGCCTTGGTACTTTTCATTGGACAGCTGGTATAGAGGCTAGGGATAGGGAACTGCAGTTCATTTTCCCTGCCCCTCACCCCAGTTCTCTTGGCTAACTGTGATATGCATTTAAGGCCCAGAACCTGCTGTTTAAAAGGTTGTGGTAAACTATTTTGTATACCAAAGACTTCTCTGTAATAAAATATATACGTACACATGAACATTTTATATGCATGCACATTTTAAATCATTCTGCAAATTGAGATTCTATACTTTTCTTAAGGGCACATCCCTATTCCATTTCTTTGTAAATTTGACTTCTACCTAACAATATGCAATTATTGGGATTTTTTTTTCCCTAAAAATTCAAAACTGCTAATTTAAAATGTAAAGTGTGTGTTTCAATTACCAGTTTTCTATTTAGATAGGAGCTACCTGATTCATTCCAGCAAAGAGAGATATGATCCCTGGAGAACAAAGTCAATTCAAAATTATTTAAACCATTTGGCAAATAAATAAAATTTAAGTAATTATTTGCTTAATTGCTTTACTAAGTTGTTAATGCCTATGTGCATTAGTGGTCAAAGCCCACACTTAACTTTTGCAATGTTTATGAGAACTGAAAGCAAAACCAGTTTGCTTCTGGCCTAACTTCATTTCTAGGTTCTGATCTTCAAAGGACTTGGAAAAAGTCCACTTACCTATTACATATACATACATACATTCATACATATATTTCTTAGAAGCATATAATTCTTTATGCTTAAAGGAAGTAAATATTTAAACATACATTTCTTTAATATTCATCACTTTACTGGGGCAGAAAAATTGGCTTTTAAGGTATAATAGTTTCAGATTTTCAATCAAGTATTCTTAGTCATTACTGAAAAGAACTCAAATTCAGCTATATTTTGATTATTAGCAGCACTGGCTTTTCAAAAGGAATGGCAAAAGAATTATCACAGTTTTTTGCTTATATAGTACACTAAGGATTGTTTGGACACAAGTCAAAGTAATTTTTCTTTTTTTTTAATAAACAGCGTGATGTTACAGACTGCAGAGTTAAAGAAAAGCAGACATTGACAGTTTCTGATGAGCACAAACAGTAAGTGCAGTCACAGGCCACACTTCTTGCTAGGAACAGCAAGACTGGGAAGAGGTCTTAAATTTAGTGGTACTGTTATTATTCTATATTCTCAATATAATAACACATGCATCTTGCTGTGTCAAATGCTTTTTGGGCCATCATTAAAAGGACATTAAAAACGTTTTTCTTGTAATGAATGCAGTATACCACAGGACTTCAATTCATTGAATGACAAAATATAGAGAAATAAACTTGCTACAATTAATGGGGCCAAAAGGGTGGTTCGAATTTCTTCCAGGTGAACATTTGACATGTTAGTAGTCTTCTTTTGGTAGTGCCACATTCCCCAAAGTATTAAAGTGTTATGCTCCAAAAGGGTATATTCTTTTAGATTTTATTCAACCCAATTAGGTCTGAAGACTGAATCACCCTGAAACCATCAACTTCATTTGAAACTTGGGTTCCATAGCCAAAAACACTTTTGAAATCAGATGAAGGCCAAGTTCTCCAACCACTCTTAGGAACATAAATTACATCGAACAAGGGACTTTTAAAAGTGAAATAAAAACAAAATTAAATAAAAATGAAATAAATAGAAAACGATTTTGGAAATTCATACTAGAATTAAGTTTAGTCTAATTATATTTTAATATGAAACAATGAAAGTTTGCTGCCTCCTTGCTAACCTAGAAAAACTGACAAAAATAAGAAAACCTAAAAGTATACACGGTTCTTGGCATAACCACAAAATTACTGTAGTGACAGATTAAATAGGTTGCAGATAATTCATAGACTTTAACTGGCTAACAAAATATATTTTGAAACCTTTTCTGTACTTACCTACATGAGGAGTGGAGTATACTGTTGGTAGAAAAATCATTTATCTAACTACTATATATGCACAAGGGACTAATTTTTTTTCTCCACTAAAACTCTTATATGTAGTTGTGTAAAAATTAAGTCAGAAAATTTCCTCATGGCTCACACCTGTCACTTTATGCTAACTAGCAAGGCTGGAATATTAACATACCTAAAATCAAGCAAAATAAATGGCGCTGCACTAATAAAAAGGAGGTGCAAAACCTTAAGTGGAATACATGAATGAAGTAAGTTTATTTAAAGACTAACATCCCAACTTGGGAAACTCCTAATAAATTCTAAACTCTTCAGAATTATAGAACCTTGATATTTCTTTACACCTTTTATAAAAGATGCCTTTTGACTAGGGCTAAGCAAGCAGTGTGTATACAGACAGAATTGTGTGCAAGTATACACACACCAAATGCACTAATAATGAAGAAAAGAGAACAAAATGAATTTCAAACGCCGAATTCGGGAACCTCCTCGAACTATTGCTTTTTTCAAATGGCTGGACCAACGATTAAACTTCAGCCAAGTTTTTTTCTTAAGGTCTTCCATATCATTAAAAACAACGCATGCCAACTCTGACTTTATAAATCTAAAATTCAGTGATCTGCACAATTTCTGAGCCTGAAGTATTGAATTGTGACTCATCTATTTTTCCCCCATTTTCCTTCTGAGGTAGAGTTACCAATCCAATTTTATCACGACCATAGATATTTTGAGCTAAACCCCATAATCTTTTCATAGAGTAAAAATAATTTTTATGAAAAAAGAAAACAGGCTTCCCAGGCCATGGCACATAGATATATTTACAATTTTTAATGTAATAATTAAAAATGGTATTGAGTTTGTATTTTAAAAAACAGCCCAGCTGTATTATTCTGTCACCAAGAATTATTAATTGAGGATGCTGTCAATGCTGAATTTTATAGTTCAGCTTCACAATCCCATCCATGATGAAGAGTTAATTCTCTTACGGTATACAATATACTCTCACAACTTTCAGCCTTCTCTTAGACATGCCCCAAATGAGCAGGATGGATATAAAGAATGTAATTCATTCAAACAACTCCTCCCTGTTCTGCCCCCTCCCCTCACATTCCCCTCTTCTCAAAAACATCTGAAGTATGAAAGTTGTCTTTAAATAGTAAAAGCACCACAATCTATTAACACCACATATTATCTTTAAACTTAAATATTTTAGTGATGTCTTGGACATCAAAATAATTTCTTAAGGTGGACTCTGAGTACGTGGGTCCAGCCCAGGTCTGCAGTTTGTGCAGACATAGAAAAAAGAGGAACTTTAAATATTCAGAAAAAGTTAACAGGCTAGCTTTAAAATACTGCTGGAAATTAAATTTCTTCAGAGTTGGCAAGCATGGGCTATTGATCAAAATATGAATTAAGCGGATTTACATCAAGAAAAAAATAAATCCATGTTATGTGCTGTGAAATTTCCATGATGCCTTTCAAATAGGCTGCTCACAATTTTTTTTTATAATTCCAAATCACTCGATTTTTGATGGAAAAAAGAATACAGATGGACTGTGTTTTACCTATGTGAAAATCACCAATCCATTTAAAATAAAATCCAAGAGGGCATATACAGTCTAATCAAGTCATCATTTTCCTGGTTAATAAGAACTACACTTTACACAAAATACTTTATCAGCAGCTGTTTTCATCAAAAAAATCAATAGTTTCACAGTTGAAAAAGTTACACATTAAAATATTTTACAATTCATTATATATTCACCAGGTTCCCATTTTCTAATAGGCTTTTAATATAAAGCAGAATAGAAGGGAAAAATCTCAAAGTTGATTACTTTGACACTAAGTTTTACATAGGACACTAAGAACCACAAAAAGCTTAGGTTCTGTTGTAAAATAGCAACCAAATTCCATTCTTCTTTTAAAAATCCAATTAGAAACATCTTTTTTAAAAAAACAAATTCCACAATAAGAGTAACAGATTTCAAATTAACAGTAGTCTAAAAATCTTCAAAATAAATGGTTTTGTATAGCTGAGAATATGGTAGAAAGTGAAAGCATAATTTTCGAACAGTCATTTCTTACTATAGTGTGTTTAAAATTATTTTTATTATTTTCTTTAGACTTTTTCTCAAAACAATTATTCAAGGAAATATTTCTTAAGTGGCCCAATAAAACTGCAGAGCCAACAGTGAGTTACACCATATTCAAGGACAAGGATAGTCAGCTATAGATAGGAACTGTCTAAACCGTGGGAACTGATCTCTGATACTGAAGTACCCAGAATTGGCTACATTATCGCTGACTTGAAACAGATCTTAGTCACCCATGTAGCATTTAATTCAATGTTTGGTTCTTTACCTCATTTCTTTCTTAGGTCACAATCTATAGTCTTTATAGAATTTGTCTACATTTCTTCTAATATAATTTGGTTGTAATAACTTTTGAAAATAAATGTAAATGATGAAATCGGCCATATGGTTTGTGCGTGTTAATAGTGGAGAGCTTCTGGGAGAAGGAGGGGAGACAAGTATCTGGACTGATGTGATAAAAATGTAAAAAATGGGATAAATTTTGTGCAAGGAGGCTCAAGGCATTTTTGGCACTCGGGTAAAACACAGTTCTGTTACATCTTCAGTTTCTACCATCAAAGTTTCAGATTTGTACCATTTTACTGAGTTTTCCTATAATTTAACCCTGATATTGAAAAGGCTGGGATGTTAGTATCAACTGCCTATATCTAAACAACACAAAATGTTAGTAAGTTTTAATAAGTTATGAAATCTTCTATAACTGCAAAATAATCTTTCTGGTTGCCTGCTTAAAACAGAGTTTAAATTCTGCTTAACTACTGCAAGACAGTTTGCAGAAGTAAGTTCCCTTAATCTTCAAATTTATTTTTCTTGTTGGCAATATTATATACATGCTTTAGTGAAATACCTAAATTTCCAATAATTATGCCCTTTAAGGGATCTAAAATAGCCAGATATTAAGAGTATTGGTATTAGAGTCCCTTGTTCACTACTCAAGACTTCAACTATAGGTAACAGATTTCATAAATGAATATTTTTAAAGTGATGCTGTTTTACTACAGTATACAATGTTCACTCTTTATAAAGTTGTTTTCCAATAATATGCCTAATATAAAAAACTGTCAATAATTATTGCACTTTTTTGATGTGGCACCTGAACATCTAAAGCTAATTTCCTAGGACATTAATCATTCATTTCAAATACAGAGTAAAATATCAGATTCTAGAATGATGACTAGCAGTAGCCTGTACATCTTGGGTTAATGTTTTTCAAAATGTTTAAGATATGTCCTGTGCTCAAATAGTATTTAATAAAGTTGGAGAGTGAACTCTGACTCTGACTACTTGGGAATGAGACATGATCTTAAAATGGTTTAATATTCTACTTTGGAGATATGGATAAATAGTTTAAAAAGGTAAAAATTTCATGGTTTCTATTCCCCCATATTTTAAAGTATCATTCATGAGTATACTTCAGTAAAGGGGTTTAAGGAATCAGGAAGATAGTCTAAATTGTGTTAATTTTGGTAACTAATTTCATATGATTGAGACATTCTCAACTACAAAAGAGAATGGAAGACGGGGGATTCACATAAGAAATAAAAGGAAAGATGAAGTTTTATGTTTTCCTTAAGTAGTTATACACTGGTTATTGGCGTAAATGGGATAGTGCCTGAGCCTCATCTACAGACCAAGAAGAAAGCTGACCATGCTGCTATGAACAATAAAAAATTTGGGGTGCAAAACAATGCATGACTATGGGACAGATCATGTAAATAAAGAATATATATTAATGATAGTTTCTATAATATAAATAGCCTTTAATAAAAAAAATAATCTTTTTAATAACATTAATACTTCTATTTTCTGGAAAACATGCATGAAAAATGTATTCAGTTCAACTGCAAAAGGAGAAAAAAATCAACTTAAGGTGAATACTGTACAATTCTGGAATAAGAACTATTCCTGTTCATTCTTTTTCTATGATTTTTTTTTTTTTTTTTTTTAAACTCTGTGGGAGCCCAGAATTTCCCTGGGAAATAAAATCCTTTAAATACTGTCCAGAAAAAAAAAAAAAAACATACACCTGTATACAGGTTCTCATTTGTGACTGCTTCCAAAACTGCAGATAAAAAAAAAAATCATCAAAAGGTTTGATTTATTAAAAAGAAAAAGTCTCTGGTGAAATCTCAAGAGTCCCTTCCACCCCAAGCATTTTTCTTCATTAAACAAGGAGTCAAAAACCCAAAAAAAAATATAAATTGAACAGCAATGGAAAAATAAGAAATTTTCATTCTTTTCCAAAAAAAAAAAAATTTAACATAAACTCCAGTTTACTTACACCTAAAGCAATAACAGCTTTAAAAAAAAACACATTTCAAAACATAGAACATTTGCAAGACAAAAAAAAACCATCATTTAAAAAAAAACATCATTTCTATATATTTTGGGGATTTTTGTTTTGTTTTGTTTTTTAAAAAAAAAAAAAAACAATCTTCAAAGTTTACCTTTTTGGACTTAAGGCATAACATGAAATAAAAAAAAATTCTAAAGCTTAATTGTGAAATGAACTAGTTTAAGTGCTATCAAACCCTGTTTGCGTTTACATTAAATTATATAGTATTTTATTTCTGTTCTTGCTGTAAATTCTAATGCTGTTCATGGATTGTGCAATTCCTATGCAATCGGTCTTTGCCTGCTGATAGTTATTAACAGTGCAGTGTGGAATCCAGAGAGTGAGCTTTCATTTTCTCAGTTATCTTTTCAGTTCAATGCATGCTGTTTAATTGTGTGGAAGATCCAATCCATTTTTGTTGTCCAGCCACCAAAAAAAAAATCATTCATTTGTTTCATGAAATATTCCAAAGCCTCTTGCTCAGTTTTATCTAAGGCTAGGGTCTTTCGAATGTATGCAATGTCATCAAAAGATTGTAGTTCTGGCATTCCAGAGCCAAGCATCATTGAGAAAAGATTTATGAAGAGATTGGCATGCTGTCGAATAGCTAGATAAGCCTTGTAACACATCTCCTGAAACCTATAAGTAATAAGAACAGTTTGGAAAAAAAAAAGCAAATGATGTTAATACCTTCAGGTCTTTGCTCAAATGTCACACAATTAAAAAAAAATTCGTAGACAAAGCTATAAAAAATAGCATTCCTCTCTCACTTACCTTACAAAAAAAAATTGATTCCCTTTACCCCACTAGAATATAAACTTCATGAGAATAAAGACTAAAAAAAAACTGCTTTATTACCAGCACCTACAACAATGCCTGGCATGTCAGCAGTTTAAAAAAAAAAAAATGTATGAATTGGTCCATACTAAATCCTTTTGTGCTTAAGCTAGAGTCAGGACTGAGTTACAGACAAAGCAGAATTTTATAGAAGGTTGTAAAAAGTACTTTAAAGTCTGATATAGTCTAATGAGATACCATAAGGTGAGTTATGAATAAACAAGGTGATTATAAAAAAAAAACTTTCATCAAATTGTATGAGCAAAAAATGTCGTATTAAGCACTATACATTATTTATCAATATAGAGGTGGAGTCCAACTATTTAAAGCTCAGTAAATAAAAACATTAAAAAAAAAATGAAGTTTAAGGGTTACTTTCTTTTTAGACCTTAATTAGCTCAACAAATTAAATTGTATTCCCTTTCCATCTTCCTTCACAGCATCACACAAATAAACACAAAAAAAAAAAAAAATTAAAATAGTTTGTCACTCAACAAAGTAGGCATAGAAGGGACTTACCTCAAAATAATAAAAGTCATATGACAAACCCATGGCCAATATCATACTGAATGTGGGGAAAAAAAAAAAACACTCCCCCTGAGAACTAGAATAAGACAAGGAAGCCCACATTGGCATCCAAATTGGAAAAGAAGTCAAACTATTGCTGTTTACCAATGACATAATCATATACCTAGAAAAAAAAAAAGTTCTCCAAAAGACTCCTAGATTTCAGCTGGGTGTGGTGGCTCACTCCTATAATCCCAGCACTTTGGGAGGCCGAGGCGGGAGGATCACCTGAGGTCAGGAGTTCAAGACCAACCTGGCCAACAAAGTGAAACCCCATCTCTACTAAAAAATACAAAAATTAGCTGAGCATGGTGGTGCACGCCTGCTACTTGGAAAGCTGAGGCAGGAGAATTGCTTAAACAAAAAAAAAGGAGGTTGTAGTGAGCTGAGATTGCACCACTGCACTCTAGCCTGGGCGAAAAAAAAAAACTCTTTGTCTCTCTCTCTCAAAAAAAAAAAAAAAAAGACTCCTAGATTAAAAAAAAAAATTCAGTAAAGTCTCAGGTTACAAAATCACTGTACACAAATCAGTAGCAAAAAAAAACACCACCACCAACCAAGCAAAGAATCAAATTAAGAACACAAGCCCTTTTAAAAAAAAAAAAATACCTAGGAATATACCTAACCAAGGGGGTATCTTTCCTATTCAAGAAAAAAAAAAAAACACTGCCAACATCATTTTTCACAGAATTAGAAAAAAAATCCTAAAATTCATATAAAATCCACCAAAAAGAGTCTGAATAGCCAAAGCAAGGCTAAGCAAAAAGAATAAATCTGGAGGCATCACATTACTGGACTTCAAATTATACTAGAAAACTATAATTAAAAAAAAAACAGATACACACAAAAGTAGACACATAGACCAATGGAACAGAATGGAGAAAAAAAAAAAAAAGCCAAAAACTTACAACCAACTGATTTTAGACATACAAAAACATAAAAAAAAAAAAGGACATCCTATTTAATAAATGGTGCTGGGAAAACCACCTAGCCACATGTAAAAGAATGAAACTGGATCCCTGTCTCTGACCTTATATAAAAATCAACTCAAGATGGATCCAAGACTTAAATCTAAGACCTGAAACCATAAAAATTCTAGAAGATAAACTAGGAAAAACTCTTTTGGACACTGGCCTAGGCAAATAATAAATGACTAAGACCCCAAAAGCAAATAAAAAAAAAACAAACAAAATAAATGGGACCTAATTAAACTATAAAGCCTTTGCATAACAAAAAAAAAAATCATCAAAGTAAATAGATAACCCATAGAATGGGAGAAAATATTCGCAAACTATGCATCCAACAAAGGACTAATTTCCAGAATCTGTAAGGAACTCAAATCAGCAAAAAAAAAAAAATCCCATCAAAAAGTGGGTTAAAGCCGGGTGCAGTGGCTCAAGCCTATAAAAAAAAAATTTAGGGAGGCTGAGGCGGGTGGGTCACCTGAGGTCAGGAATTCAAGACCAGGCTGATCAACATGGTGAAACTCCGTCTCTACTAAAAATACAAAAATTAGCCGTGAAAAAAAAAGTGTGCCTGTAGTTCCAGCTACTTGGGAGGCTAAGGCAGGAGAATCGCTAAAAAAAAAGAGGTAGAGGTTGCAGTGAGCTGAGATCATGCCATTGTACTCCAGCCTGAAAAAAAAAGTGAGACTCCGTCTCAAAACAAAAACAAAAATGAAAACAAAAAAAGTGGAAAAAAAAAATGAATAGACAATTCTCAAAAGAAGATATGTAACAACATGAAAGCATGAAAAAAAAAATCAACAACATTAATCATCAGGGAAATGCTGATGATTTCCCTGATGATTAATGATATACCACCTTACTCCTGCAAGAATGGCTGTAATTAAAAAGTCAAAAAACAACAGATGTTGACATGGATGTGGTGAGAGGGAACGCTTATACACTCCTGGTGGGAATGTAAATTAGTACAGCCTCTATGGAAAACAGTATGGAGATTTCTTAAAGAACTAAACGTAGATCTACCATTTGGTCCAGCAATCCCTCTACCCTGAGGAAAAGATGTCATTATAACAAAAAGAAAAAAAAAAGCATATTGTATGTTTATTGCAGCACAATTCACAACTGCAAAGATATGAAACCAACGTAAGTACCCACTGACCAATGAGTGGATAAAGAAAGTGTACATTTACACCACGGAATACTACTACACCACAGAAAAGAATGAAATAATGTCTTTTGCAGCAACTGGGATGGAGCTGGAGCCCAGGAATGGAAAACCTGAAAATACACTATGTTCTCACTTGTAAGTGAAAAAAAAACTATGGGTACACAAAGGTGTACAGAGTGATATAATGGACTATGGAGACTCAGAAGGGAGAAGATGGGAAGAATGGTAAGGGATAAAAAAGTACATATTGGGGGCAAAAAAAAAAAATTGGGTTACAGGTGCGCTAAAATCTCAGACTTTACCACTATTTAATTCAAAAAAAAAACCAAAAACCACATGTACCCCAAAAGCTATTGAAATAAAATAAAATAAAATAAAACCAAAAAATAGTTTTTGTTAAAGTGGTAAAATAACTTCTTTTATTTTATTTATAAAAAAAAAGGGTCTCACTCTGTTGCCCAGGTTGGAGTACAGTGGCGTGATCATGGCTAAAAAAAAACTCAACCTCCTGGCCTCAAGTGATCCTCCCATCTCAGCCTCCTGACTAGCTGGGACTACAGTGCATGCCACCACGCCTGGCTATTTTTAAAATTTTTTTTGTAGACATGAGTTCTCACTGTGTTACCCAGGCTGGTTTCAACTGCTGAGCTCAAATGATCCTCCAGCCTCGGCCTCCCAAAGAGTGGGATTACAGGCATGAACTGCCACACCTGGCCAACATTTATTATTTTGAAATTGCTTGAAAAATATTGCTTGTTTCTAATAGAGCAGCCAGAACTCTTTATTTTGTGTTTTTAATTTCTCAAGCTCACCTCTCAAATTCTCTTGTCTTTGTGCAAAAAAAAAATCCTTTACTAATCACTATTAAGAAATCCTGTGTCAAAACAAATGGCACAAAAAAAAAATTATAACCAAATTTTTTCTTCTTGTGATCCAAAAAGTGTCCAAAATCTAAAAAAAAAAGCTTTCAAAAATAAGAAATTATGTTATAATTTGACATATTCAGATACAAAAAAAAAAAAATTAATAAATTAAGAACACCAAAAACATTTTAAACAGAGAAAACCATTACTTGTCCATCGTCTTTCACCATGATGTTACTATTGTGACGATCTCCAATTCCCAGAAAAAAAAAAACGACACAATATCCAGCACATGAACGTGTAAACAGGTCAATGGCTGCATCAAAAAAAAAAAGAAGAAGTAAACACCTCATGAGTAGTATGGAAATATAGAGTGCTTCAAAAAAAAAAGAGAAAAAAGGGTACAAGCGTCTATTTAAACAATGAAAACAATCACTAACAGGGAATAACGTAATTATGTCCAAAGATTTTGAGATTGTGAAGTTTTCATGGGTTTCTAAGGAAATTTCCAGATGTTCCCTGACCAAAGCGTAATTCTTATTATAGTGAAAAAATACCATCTCATTAAAATTATTTTTTTCTAATCATTTTAACAATGAATTAGAAATAAAATAAAAAAAAATCAATGTTCATTTGTTTAAAAAGAATAAGCAGTAACAATACATTTTAGAAAAAAAAAAAAATGAATGTTTAAGATTTTACCAAATCAAAAGTAATTATAATCATTTAAAAAAAAAAATGTCAAATATTGCAAAGGCTGAGCATAGTTTTTTCCATAGAAAGTACAAAAAAAAAATCTGGTATAAGTCAGAGGAATATACAAACACTGACAGACTCATCTAACAAAAAAAAAAACTAACATAGGAAGAAAGAATAATACAACTCACATTTCTCCTTTGTTCTAAAAAAAAAGCCACTGATGTAGAGTGTGGCTGTTGAACTGCAGTGCACCTTTCAAGCCGCCTTTGCACTGAATTTGCATAATAGTGTGAGAATTTCGCACCACCTCAATAAGTCCCACACAGTCACCGATTGACAGACAACCATAAGGTAACATTCTGAAAGAGGAGCAACACAAAAAAAAAAAAATGATGGAATTTTAAAATAGCAAATATTTTAACAGGCCAAAACATGAGTATTTTATTAGTAAATTTGTCATGCATGACCTTTACTGCCTTTCCCCAATTTTAATTTTCTTTTTTATGGTGTGATAAATATACTCCTGGAATAATCCTCAAAATTACCTGTCATCATTTATTATAACCTTCAACTGAGAAAGTGCTGAACTTTTATCAGAAAAGCATTAAGAAAATTATTGTGGCAATTAAAATTTTACATTTATGACTTTAAAAATATGGGTGAATTTAAAAAAAAAAAATTGACATCGAAGTAAAACTATAGGGCAGGGGATCTCAAATTTTTGGTAAAAAAAAACCTTTACACTTGTAGAAATTACTGAGGACTCCAAAGAGCTTTTAGTTATAAAAAAAAAAACTACTGATATTAGAAATTGAAATAGGGAAAGTAACAATTTTAAATAGAAAAAAAAACATTTAAAAGCAACAAACCATGACATGTTAATATAAATAACGTATTTCAAAAAAAAAAAAAATGCATTTAAAAAATGTAGTGAGAAGAGTGACATTCTTTCACATTTAAAAAAAAATTTAAATGTCTGGTTTCATAGTACACAGCTGGATTCTCATATATGCTTTTGTATGCAATCTAATGCAATGTTTTAATTGAAGTATATAAAGAAAATCTGGCCTCACAAAGATAGGTAGGTAGAAAAAGGAGTATTATAATAGACTTTTCAGATAATTGTGGTATTTTTCTTTGATAGTATTCCAAAACTTGGTAAGTTTCTTAAGTTGCAATATGTAATCTAAAACCATATCAATAAACTTTTCATACTCAGTTACATTAAAATCAATTTGTCTTTCTTGCAAAAAAAAAGATCTTTTACCCATACATGATTTTATAGTATCCTGCGCATGGCCATTTGTAGATGTTCCAAATGTTGATACTTTTCATTATACCATACTGAAAACCACAATTGTTAATATTACCAAGAATCTCATTAGAAAGATGTTAAGTTTAGGGACTCTATTAGGTTCAGTGAAAAAAAAAGAAAATTAGAATTTTCAAAATTCTAAGTTTGAATTTCTAATGAAATTTTTGTTGCAAGCTTGAATTTTATCATTGGCAACAAATACTGTCACAGTTGTTTTCGTCAAAGAGACAGGCACATATTGTTCATTTTTAAGAAAATGTCTGCCAAATATCCATGTCTGAATAACCATAGCTTGCCTACTAGTTATTTTTTAAGTAAAAATCGTGTTCCATCAAAACAGCAGCTAGTTCAGCTCACAACTCAAATAATCTCACAAATGTTTCCCTTTGATACAACCAAAAAAAAAGGGGATGTGACACAAATGCTTTTTAGGATACCTCTCACTTATTCACATAAAAAAAAAAATAGGACATGTAGTCAAGGGTGCAGATGTGAGGATTTAAAGAGACAATGAAAAAAATCACCTAACATTCAGATTGACATGTGAGTATCCAAAGTTTGGTTTTCCTTGCTCTGTTCTTCTCATAAGCTACTTTCCACTCTTTCCACCTTTCCTTTACTTCTTAAATAAAAAAAAAAGTCTATACTTATTTTCATTTTCTTACTTAATTCCTTGTAGCCTAGCTTCTACACCTACCATTCTAGTGAGTAAACTCTTAAAGATAATCATGAGTCATTAAATCCAAGTGCTTTTTCACAGACCTCATTCTTTAAACCCCTTGAAGCCCTTGGCCCTACAAATTAAAAAAAAATTCCTCTAGTACTCCTACTTCTTTTGATGACTTCTCTTACACAATCTTTTTTTCTACCTGCCCTGGTAAATAGGGAAATTTCTTAAGGTTGTACTCCTGCTCATTCTTTCTTATTTTATGTTTTTATCACTGTTGAACATGCTCATAGTTCAAAGAATTCAACTGAAAAAAAAATCCTGTTATTAAAAAAAAAAAGCAGGGTTAAAATTAACCCGATTATGAAAAAAAAAAATGCCAAGTATAAATAAAAATGCTGTTATGATTTTACTTAAATAGTTTTAAAAAAAAAATAAACTTGAAATAAAATTTTTACTTACATTTACTTGTTAAAAAATATTCAAAAAAAAAAAGACTAAAAAACCGTTAATAATTCTAATCATCTTAACTTTAGAATCTTTTTTGCAAAGTCACTAATTTACAATTAATGTAATTAACTAGGGTTACACAGTTACCTCAAAAAAAAATTCTTGGCTCTACAATCTTTTTTACAGTCTATTCCTTTGGGGGACGTGGTAGTAGTGGAATGTGGATCTCTCACGACACAGGAAATAATACCAAAAAATGAAATTAGATTCATATAACCTTAACCATCTTTGGAAAGCAGCAGGGGTTAAGCAATGTATCACGAGAAAAAAAAATGAAGTTGATAACAGTTTTGTGCCTTAGCATATCACTTGAAATGTCCACAAAAAAAAATCCAATACAAAGGTACTACTATTTGTCACTGACACATTTTTGTATACTAAAAAAAAAAAAAATTTATAAGAGGCAAACAAATAAGCCCTTGTCTGGTGTTACCTGCAATTCCTACTAAATGTACCCTGTTGTCACAGCTAGACTTGACTCTATGTCCACTTATAGGCCAAAGTACTTTGGAGAGAGCGGGCTTTGCCTGAATGACTATGGATTTGCAAAAAGAAAAAAAAAATAAGGAAGAACATTTTAGAAGCAACAATGACTAGGAGAAGATGAAGCACAACAGAAAACTTGGTGATAATACTGATACTGTGGAAAGTTGGGTAGAAACCAACAGACTGGTAAAAACTCTAAGATTAGCTGGTTGCATAATTTTGCTGAAAAACTGATTCCAGTAAAAAAAAAATTATACAACTTTAGAATTAGAAAATTTCTATTATGAAACTTTCTTTTAAACTCTTAACTTCTGAATGAAAACAGGGGTCTTGTGTGTCTCCTTTGTCTTGTTCCTAATGGTCACACTCCAGAGGCAGTTGCAGAGTGTTTATTAGCTTCTTAGCTCTTTTTACTTAGCTGAATATAATTTAGCTATTCTAAGTCAAGTAAGAGGAGGATATGTCAAAGTACTAAAAAAAAAACAACTATTGATAATTACTACTGCATACATTTCTTTTTAGATATAAGACTCTATATGCTTCTGTAATTATTAATAGTTCACTTTTTCAGGATAACTTTCAACATACAGGTTGCCTTACTGGTTACCTACCGAAGATCAAGACCTTGATTTTGCCAGATATTTTCCAAAAAAAAAATAATTTGAAGTGTTAGCATATCTTGCCGTAAATCTGAAATTCAAATAATATGTATCACCATTTAATGCCACAGATGCAAATTTGGGGATCACGCCATCACATGGTTTAAAAAAAAAAAACAAATACAGCTATATTTATCTTCAAAAGAAACTACAGGAAAGCAATAAAAAAAAACTTTTAAAAAATGTATAAATGAGTGTGTATGTCCACTCAAAGCCTTTACAAAAAAAAATTAATTTATAATTTTTTGAGATGGGGTCTTGCTACATTGACCAGGCTGGAAAAAAAAACCTGGGCTCAAGTAATCCTCCAGAGTAGCTGGGATCACAAGCATGCACCAAAAAAAAAGGCTCTTAATATTCTGATTCTTAAATCCACTTTTAAAGTCTTTGCATAAAAAAAAAAAAATAACAATGTAGGATAAGTGAGCATGTATCTCATAAAAATTTTTAATTAAAGCATTTATAGTAATTATTTTTCTGAATCCTTAAATTTGAACATATGTTTACATTAAAATATTGGGATCAACAGAATTCACTGCTGAAATGTCATTTCCTATTGAAAACCCATCCATGGATCCTCCTTCACTCCCCCGATAGCCTTTTCCTCCAAATAAGTACCTTCTTTTAAAAAAAAAATAAGCAGATTACACTTTTCCTTTGTACCATGCTTGTAATTTCATTTTTATAATTATTTATTTAATGTCCCTCTTTTCTCTGTTAGGCTGTAAGCTCCAAGAGGGCAGGGATTCTGTTTTCTTCACTGCTAAAACCCCAGCGCCTAGCACATAGAATATTTATGGAAAAAAAAAATACTCACACAGCTAAGCAAATGATAATTAGAAACTGATTAAAAAAAAAAAAAAAAAAACAACAACAAAAAATACTTCTCTACACAGGTCCACGAGAGGGGGGTTGAGAAAAAAAAAAGGAAAAAGAAAAAACAAAAAACTGATTTCAGGACTTCTGATCTAAGCCAAAAAAAAATCTTCTTTTCATTGATTATATATGCATATTTCAAAGGTCAAGATATCTGATTATGTATTTTATCACATGTATGTATTCCTTAAATGGCTTTCAATAGTTTTCATGGTAAAAAAAAATCCTGGGTATAAAAAGATAGCTAAATTCATGCATCATAAGCTCATTAATACTCTTCCTTACCATCCCCATTTTTAAAGATGATCTCATTGTTCTGAAACAGTAACTCTGACATGATGTCTGGGTTCTCCCAATTCAACCACAGTGGCCTTTTTGCAGAGGACATAATTCGACACTCTTCAAGCCTTTAAAATATTTAAAAACTTTATTAGGCACCTTTGCTTTATTATTCCTTTACCCTCAAATTTATTTTAAAATATAAATACCATACAGCTTTTTGAAGTGTTACAAAGATTTAAAACTTTCTCCTCAATTTTTATTTAGGAATCCATTTCTAAGGAAAAAAAAAAAAATACTAAGTTTTAGAAGTTATATAACTGCATATGAATTTCCAACAAATATATAGAGATATACCATTAGTTTTACAGATATTACATTTCCATTTCTTATCCTATGATAACAGAAATTCTGGCCATAGAAGGTTTTAAATTCTATTATTTAAGTAGTAAAAACTCAAAAAAAAAAAAGGCAGTACTGAACTTAAGATAATTTACTACTCTTATTTTGAGGGTAGGAGAATGACAGCGAGAAGCATAGATTATTGAACATTCTAATTATAATAGACATTTTGACTTTTCTCAAGATTTTATCCAGAAAAGGTATTTATTTAAATATATCAATGAAACCCCCAAGAAAGTACCTGAGATTTCCTAGTTGATGAGCAGGGTTTAGAGGAGACAGAAAGCCCTGTAGAGCATCCATGAAATCTGGTCGCCTCATTTGCTCAACTAAAAACTTCATCTGTACCTGATTTAAAAAAAGGATAGTAACAGTAAGAAACTGACTTAATAAAAGGTAAAACTAACTGCTAATCTCTTCTATATATGAGAACCTCAGTACTGCACGGTCTCTGAATCTACAAAAAAAAAAGGCTGCCTTCTAATTAAGAGAGTTTCTACAACAACAGAGCAGCAACACTCAGAGACAGAAGCAAGACTGGCAGCACTGTGTACCCCTTCCTGTAAGAAGATGAAATCAAAAAAAAAATAGTGGCAATGCTTTTGGCTGTAGAGCAGGGCTAGTCAATTATGGCCGGCAGGTCAGCTGCCAGTTTTTGTAAGTCAAGTTGTATTAGAATACAGCTATACCCATTAAAAAAAAATTGGCTACTTTTACGAGAATAGCAAGAGTTGAATAGTTAAGACAGAGACAAAAAAAAACTGCGAAGTCTAAAACAGTTACTATCTGGCCCTTTAAGAAAATTTGCTGAAAAAAAAACTAGAGGAAAAACTAAGGAGACCATGTTGTATTAGCTTAATAACCTTACAAAAAAAAATTTAAGAAAACACAGCATTCATACTCTCATTGTTAGGTAAAAGTGGTCTAAAAAAAAAAAAAGAAATTGTTGGGAAAAGGACTTATAAAAACATTTGTTACATGGAGAAAAAAAAAATAATCAGGTTTTAGTACGTGGCTACAAAACAATATCTCTTTTTAATCAATTCAAATCAGAGCCCAGACTGCTGAATTATCACGCAATAGCTGGGATTTTATTTTAGGAAACCTTCACCTTTTGAAAATATAAAATGTGAGTAGGGGGAAAAAGTGGTTAGGAGCAAAAAAAAAATAATAAATTAATTTTCATGCTGGAATTTAAATAATAAGGTTTATTTTTAAAAAAAAAATATATAAATGGTTAGAAAATCTAGTCATCACTGACTAGATAGCTCTTGAAAAAAAAAAGGCATTTCTATCACTGACAACTCTAATAGCACAGTGCTTCATGTATTTAAAAAAAAATTGTTAGGACAAAACACAAAGCCACTCAAAGTAACTGCTCTTGTTTCTATGACTGCAATCTTGGCTCCCTATCAAAATCTCATTTAAGTCAATAATGATCTGAGTAAAAAAAAAAATGTTCCTAATTAATCCACTGTATCATAGCCAATTTGTGACATAAAAACTCCAGCTTAGAGGAAATGCCTATACAGATGGTCTGCAACTTAACGATTTTTCAACTTTGAAAAAAAAAGAAAGCAACATGCATTCAGTAGAAATTATACCTCAAATTTTGAACTTTTAAAAAAAAATACATGCATTCAGTAGAAACTATATGTCAAATTTTGAACTTTTATCTCTAAAAAAAAAAGTGATATGCAACACAGTATTTTCTTGAGAACTTTTATCTCTTCCTACGCTAGTGATATGCAACACAGTATTTTCTTGAGATGCTGGGTAGCAGCAGCCAGCCGCAGCTCCCGGTCAGCCATGCAGTCATGAGGGTAATTGACCAATACTCTACAGTGAAAAAAAAAGCCAGCATATTTTGGATACTGTGTTTTGCGTTTTCGCATCCCAACACATAAAAAAAAAGCCCATTTTTGCCTTTAAGATATTTTCAACTTATGATGTGTTTATCAGGAAAAAAAAATATTATAAGTCGAGGAACATCTGTATTTACAAATGTATCTAAAATTTAGTTTCTTTTTTCTTAGCTCAGTTACAATATATAAATACAATAAATTTTGTTCTTCCAAGAAAAAAAAATCCCTTCTTGCCCACAAATTCCAGTATCAGAAAGAGTACAATTATTTTCAAAAAAAAAATATTTGAATTTATATATCACACTTGAATAAAATCAACTCATACACTGTAAAAAAAAAACATTAATACAGTAACTTTCTTTTAAATTTTTTTTTTCCTTCAAGTACTAGTAATGAAGATGTTGCAAAAATTCATTCAGTACTGCTAACTTACATTCTCTGTCCTTTGGGGACTCACTAATAAACGATTTTTTTTTGTTTTCATTTCACTAGAGGTGAGGAATGAGCTTCCTTTTAAGTGTAAGAGGTGGTGAATTTAGGATGTGGTGGATTGGATTGAATAAAGATTAGGGTGTAGGAAAAGGTCATAAAAAAGTTTACATTGGGCTAGGCACAGTGGCTCATGCCTGTAATTCCAGCACTTTGGGAGGCCGAGGTGGGCAGACTGCTTGAGTCCAGGAGTTGGAGACCAGCCTGGGCAACAAGGCGAAACGCTGTCTCTACTAAAAATAAAAAAATTAGCTGGGAGTGGTGGCATGCTCCTATAGTCCCAGCTACTCGGGAGGCTGAGGTGGTAGGTAGCCTGAACCCAGAAGGTCAAGGCTGCAGTGAGCCGAAATTGCACCACTGCATAAAAAAAAAGGCAAAAGAGCCAGACTCTGTCTCAAAAAAAAAAAAAAAAGTTTACGTTAAAAAAAAAACTCTTAGTTATACTAAGCTAGACTGCAGATGACTAGAGTGTGTGATATAAAAAAAAAGTGACTCGAAATCCATTTTAAACTTGGAAATGTAAAAACTAACTTCTTTCCACTCATTTTCAGGGTCATTACTGAGAGACAATAAATGACAGAATAAGGAAATAATCAAAAAAAAAACTTAGGGACCTGAATAAGAGAAAGGAAGGGAAAGTAAAGGGATCTAACAAAAAAAAAGCACTTTCTATGTTCCAAGGATTGTGACAGGTTCTTTGCATAACTCATGAAAAAAAAATCTCACAATGGCCTTACGAAGCAGGTACTATTCCCATTTTACAGACAAAAAAAAAAAATCTTGAGAGCCTACATAATGTGTCTAACACTACACAGCTGAAAGGCAGTAAAAAAAAATTCCAAATCCTAATCTGCTTGATTCCAAGGACCATGATCTGTATATACACTGAGCTTCTAAACAACTCTGCCCCATTGCAATGAAAAGAGTCTCAAACACAAACTAGAAAAAAAAACTTTTGTGTTTCATCCTTTTTCTCCTGTTTGAGAATGTCAGTTAAGTTAAAAAAAAAATCCATTGCCTCGACTTGCCTATTCAGGTGCTTCAAATACATCCCACATGAAAAAAAAAAGGACTCCAAAAGCAGGCCAAACCTCTGGCTAACTGTTTTATTGTGCATAAAAAAAAAAAAAGAATCATGCAAAATTAAAAATATATATATAATAGTCTTAACTGAGTATACAAATAATCTTTGCTGAACAATTTAAACACTCATTTTCGAAATCCAATAAATGTTGCAATCACACTAATAACAAAATTATTCAAAACCTGTAATTTAGAAGCAAAACCAATAAAAAAAAAAGGTAGTTCCTGAATATGTCATTAAATAAACATCTAGTTTTTAGATTTATAAAAAAAAATTTTCATTTACTAATCTCAGTACAAGATATAAAAACATGAAAAAAGGAAATTGAGTACAAAAATAATCAAATGAAGAGGGAGGGAACAAAGCGCTCAATGAATGCTATTTGATTCTTCTGACACATGCCTATGCTTCTTGTTTTCAACTTAACTTCTGGGTTCCAAAAAAAAAATTTAACACTTAAAAAATCATATTAGATATAAATCTTTCTAAATTTATGCAAAAAAAAATGGTTTATGATCTGTAACTTTTGAGTACTAGATATATCACATTCTACAAAAAAAAAAATATTCTTAATTAGCTTGTTTTTCAATAAGAACCATAGGAGTTTGACATTATTTTTCTGAATTTCAAGGTAAAACATTTTTTTCTTTTTTTTGGGATATTTTAATCCCCACGCACAGTGAAACCTACAGCAATACTCATCTGGACCTAGAAAATTTTACTTAGGTAGAACAAAAATCTTTAAAAATATTTCAGCTCTCATTCATGACTAAAATTTAGTTTTGAAAAAAAAAAATTTTAAATTTCAAAGAGCAAAAGTTGAGAAGCTCATCACTGGTACTTTTAAAAAAAAAAACTCTTCCAGCCAAACATAAACAAGGGTATACAAGTAATACATATTTGTAAGTCTATTAAGAAAGCAAGTAATATGTACCTTAAGAATTTAATGGGAAAATAATTAAAAAAAAAATAAATGCCAAAAGAAAAAGTGCCCAATCCTTTGATTAGTCAATGCTTTCTTCAGTAAAAATCTCACAAGCAAGTTATCCAAATATTGTTCATATTTTAGGACCTAGGAAAAAAAAAAACAAAAAACAAATCAGGGTCAGTTTCTGCATGGCTGAGCTAAAGAAAATTTTTTCAGAAAGAAAGTGGCTATTACTGGTCATAAATTTTTTTTTTCTAAAGCATAAAACTAGTTAGTGCAGGTTTTTAAAAAGGAAGTTGTATGGATCTAGAATAAATTACTATAAAAAAAAAACATTATTTACTATTTTACATTATTTTACCTGTACTAGCTGAATTAAATAAAAAAAAAGTTTGTCATCTGTTAAATATTTTTCCAAGCACCGAACAGCAAAACCTCGAAAAAAAAAATCTGGGTAATTACAGTCCAGAAGTTCCATAGCCTGTTCAGGTTTGATTGGAGGCCAGTCTTTTACCAAGCAATACATCTGTATATGAGAAAGACAATAAATCATATTTAAAGGGGAAAGACAGTTGTGAATGAGCCATCTAAAACACTGCCTTAACTTCTGATTAAAAAAAAAGTTTAGATAAATAACCTCCTTAGAATTTACAGTTCTAATTAGTTTTATCTGTGGAAATAATGTTAAGGGTATTTTTTCTACACTATATTACTATTATTAGTCTATGTAAAAAAAAATATTTATGCAGACTTTCTGAGAGAAAACAATTTAAGTGACATACCAATTTGTACAACAGTTATCTAGTATTCTCAAACATACATTTACCTGGGCTACTTCATCTCTAGAATTCCATTTAACAGACAGAAGCAATTTGGGTAGAATTTCGGGGATAGTTACACAATAGTGTCTGTGTGGGAGAAACAAAATAAAAATAAACACTCTTGCATGCTATTCAAAAGGTTTACATGTCTAACTTCTCAATATGCAATCTGTAAGAAGTCCCAAACTTCTTACATTACTAGCCTTTTTAAAATTCAAAGGACATCAGTGCTTAACACTACAGTTGGAAATATATTAAAAAAAAAACTTAGGCACAGTTATAATGGCAAAGAACACAAAAGGAAAATGCAAATGAAAAAAAAAGTACTTAAATTTAGTTAATAGTTAAGAAAAATTATGAATATATGTTATACCACTCTTCATATAGTTCATATTTTTCATCTACTTATGCAATATGAATGAATCATAGAGTCACCACTTCTACTATGATTACTGGACAAAATTTATGTCTTAATGGACTTTCTGCAGAAATGCACTGCAACTGGTTTATTTAAGTATACCAGTATCACCAACAGCAGGGTAGTTTCTTCATAAATGAAAATAAGGCATTATACTATTTGAAGAAACGTAAGAAAAAAGAAAAATGAAAGGGAAACCCTAAAAATAATAATATCTAGACCAACTAAATCATATCTAAATTGACCTAAAACTACTATTTTAAACAATCCTAAAGAAAGTCGTATCAGGAATTCAGAGTAAGAAAAAAAAATTAATGTGCCAACTACCAATGTAGTATGATTTTCTACAAGTATCAATTTACAGCCATTGTTTTTAAAAAGGCAATGTTTATAGTTTAAAAATCATGTAAATTCTACTAAAAAAAAACTAATAGGTATGGTAAAAATATACCGAGATCAGCAAAGTCAGTTATTTTTTCTGCAATAAAGAAAAAGAAACAGAGAATCTCCATTTTAGCACTTACCTGTGACTCCACAGAAAATCTTTCTCCTGCTCAGTGATTTCAGAGAGAGGATCTCGTGTAGAAATTGCAAAAAAAAATTCTTTGTCATTTTCCCTTAATTCATTGTCTCTAGCTAGCCTGTTACTCTGTAAAATAAAATTATATCTTATGTAGTTTTTTTGGGTCATATTTTCCCCCTCTGGATTCATGGATGATTTACAAAAAAAGCAAATAAATTTTCAATAAACTTTACATCGCTAATTAACTCTTGTAAAATAATTTATTCTCATTGCAAGACTTTATTTTCAGAGACAGGAAAGAGCCAATCTAAGATATAATATTTGTGGAACAAATCCAGTAATTTATTTGGTTAATATTAAAAAAAAAACAGAATAGTAACTGCTGAAGTTAGCCAACAAGACCAGATTAGGATACTAAAAAAAAAAAGTGAACAATTTACTTTTCCTCCTGACGAGGATCTTGTTAACTTATCTGAAAAAAAAATTGATATAAGAGAGTAAGAAACACTAAAATAATAAAAATGTAAACTCTTAAAAAAAAATTGCCTAAACAAATCCTTATGATCACTGCAAGGCTTTCAAATTTAAAAAGTAGAAATCAGTAAGAAAAAAAGAATGAAAAACACCCCCATTAAAGCACTGTATCCTGAAAAAAAAAAAATTAAAAATAATTTTTTTGTATAATTCCAAGCAATGTATACTCCCTGAAAAAAAAAATATATTAACTGTGTAATGAACAATGAGTACATATTAATGTATTATGCAAAACAAATATAAACCCCTTAGGATGGGTTACATATATTTCTAAGTGGCTAAAAATGAAAAAAAAAAACCATGCCACCTGGTTTGTATGTGTTTATATGCTGTTAACTTATTCAGCAAAAAAAAAAAATATTACTGGCACATATTTGTTCAAGTATTTATTAAATATGTACTATGTACCTTGTTTTGTTCTTGCTGTTGGGATTACAAAATAGTAAAAGACTCTGCACTAACAAAAAAAAAATTATAGTGGGAAATCAAATAAATAAAAATATTGGAAAATTGATATAAGGTACTCTGGATGATGTAACAGAGAATGATTGAGAACACAGTATTTGTGATTCAAGTAACAAGAAGGAACCTTTATCCACACTACTTAGGGAAAGACTATTGCAGATGGAGAAAACACTGAAAGCCTTCCTCCCACCCCAGAAATAACTAGTTTGGTGTGAAGGAAGAAAGCCAGTAAAAAAAAAGGGCAATAGACAAGGGAGAGAAGAAATGTAAGCTGAATTCAGACCACATAAAATTTGCAGGCCAGTGTATAAAGTTGGGATTTTATTTTTATTGATAGCTATTTAAAAAAAAAAAACCTTGATTTGATTTGTACTTCATAAAGATTATTATGGCTTCTCTGTGAAAAAAAAAAAACCAGTTAGGAGGTTATTGCAATAGTCCAGGAAAGAGAGAATACATACTAAAAAAAAAATTTACCAGGAAAAGAAGTTGCTACTGTTTATTTACTTATTTTTATTTGAAAAAAAAATAAATGTAAAATAACTTAAAGAATAAAGTGATGGGGAAAACAATTTTATAAAAAAAAATAATAAGAATTTAAATATTATAAAACCAAATTCTTATCTACATTTTTCTGGTTTTGAAGATAAATATATCATTGTCAAACTAGAAACTACATTGTCAAAATGCAATAAAAAAAAAAACTCTGACGGCTCATAACTGTTGAAGGAAGGGCCATCTTTTTTCCTCTGTAACTGCAAAACATTACTACTCTATAAATACCAATCAGAATGAGTCGCTCAAGGAGTTATTTTATTTCTACATCATCTTTTTCCTTCTAGTCACATTTGTATACACAACTACTTTCAAAAAAAAACCATTTAAACAGTGTATCAGGTAAATTGTTAAAGTAGATTTAGAGATTCAAAAAAAAAAAAAAAAATTTTTGGTGCATATAGGAAAAGATGAAAAGAATATTGTAAAAAAAAAAAATGTTCAGGTTCTTGTCACAAAATACTGTGTGATGAAGTCATTCTGGTGGAAAAAAAAACTGAATGTGAATACAAATTTCCTTTTTGTCTTTAGAAATACTACCAAATAAAAAAAAAGTTGTTAGAAATATATTCTTTACTCATCATTATCTTGAGTTTGATAAGAAAAAAAAAAACTAATAGACAGTTTAGGTACTGTCATCTGACATTTCATTTATATAATAAAAAAAAAAATGATTAGCGTTTAGAGTAGTGGTTATCAACGAGGGTGATTTTATGTCCTCCTGACCTCCCAGGAACCTTGGCTAATGTCTGGAGACATTTTTGATGGCCATAACTTAGCAGGATGGCACTACTGGCCTGCAGTAGGGTAGAGGACAGGGATGCTACATCCTGGAAAAAAAAAACAGAACGGCTCCTACAACAAAGAATTATTTGGTGCAAAATGTCAATAGTGCTGAGGTTGGGAAACTGCTCTAGGCTGCTACTATCTATCTGCATTCATATTACGATTAAAAAAAAACTTGTGAAATATCTTCCTCGATCAGTTTTCATCTGTCATCATTCTGGGTGAAAAGTGAAAAATTCTGATTCTCAAGTGTCCAATGAAAGCCTAAAAGAAACCAACCAAAAAAAAAAAAAAATTACAAAGACAGTGTCTGCAGATTTCTTCTATGCTTCTGGAAAGAAAAAAAAAGACACTGGGCAATGCAATAAGAAAACTGAAGGATGATGTAACGTGATGAAAAAAAAAACTATTTTATCATCCTTCTAGGCTATTCTATCCTTCTTTTATATTTTCATATTATTTTAGTCTTTTTTTTAGCATAGTTGGAAATAATGAATATGGATAAACTAATTTAAAAAAAAATGAAATAGTAAAATATTTAAGATACAGAAAAACTAAGATCCCATGTCGTAAAAAAAAATCACAAGTTTCCAATAGATACAAATTGTAACTGAAAAATAGAAGTTTTATTCTACTATAAAATAAGCAGATTTCTTTTCTTTGAAATAAAAGTTCAAGAAAGAATAGTCATCAAATATCAATCCTTACAAAGAGTTAGAATTGTTCAAAAAATAAAGTCATATATTTTAAATTATATATGCAGAAAAGATAATTCATTTTCCAAAAAGTAGTGGTAAACGCCTAAAAAAAAACACAGCTATGAATCAATAAATCAGGATTCCTAAGTGCAATATACCAGGTCTTGGTGCTGCTGTTACTGTTAATGGGATACATGTGTTATGGACTTCTTGGCCCAAAATTAATTGGCTAGTTTATCTATAGCCAACAAGGCCAAAGAAAAAGTAATACATTTGGAAACACCAATGAACACAAACATCTTCTCTTGGCATTGACACCTTTGCCCTTGAGAAATCAAAAAAAAAAAATGGTTCCTGAACCTAGTTATACTGTGGTTCCAAAGCTATGGCCAAGATTAGACAACCAGATCAATATTTAAATTCCACCTTATATACACTCTTTCCTGGGGAACCAAAAAAAAAGTGGTGAAGACCTGCTGTTTTCTCTGCTTCCAAGCTTAACTAACAATGTAAAAAAAAAGGCGTACCCTGTATTATTGTGCTTTGCTTTACTATACCTCACAGATACTGCATTTCCAACAAACTGAAGGTTTGTGGTGGTATCCCTACATAAAGCAAGTCTCCTGGAAAAAAAAATCCAAATGCATGTATTCATTTTTTATCTCTGTGTCACATTTTGGTAATTCTTATAATATTTTAAACTTTTCATTATTATTATACATTATGATGATCTGTGATCAAAGAAAAAAAAAGCAACTGGGGGGCACTATGAGCCAATTAAGATGGTGAACTTATTCGATAAGTGTTGTATGTTCCGACTTCTTCACCAACCAACCCTTGCTCATCTTTCCCCCTCCTCTCAGGACTCTCTATTCCCTGAGACACAACAATATTGAAATTTGGCCAATTAATAACCCAAAAAAAAACTCTAAATGTTCAAGTGAAAGGAAGAGGGCCGTGTCTCTTGCTTCATTCACATCAAAAGCTAGAAATGATAAAGCTTTGTGAGAAATGCATGTCAAAAGCCATACAGAAAAAAAAATAGGCCTCTGGTGCCAAATAGCCAAGTTGTGAATGCAAAGGAAAAGTTCCTGAAGGAAACTAAAAGTGCTACTTCAGTGAATGAAGTATAAGAAAACAAAACAGCCTAAAAAAAAAAATGGAGAAAGTTTTAGTGGTCTAGATAGAAGATCAAACCAGCCACAACTTTTCCTTAAGTCAAAGCCTAATTCAGAGCAAGGCCGTTAACTCTTTTCAATTCTATGAAAAAAAAAAGAGACAAAGACGCTGCAGAGGAGAAGTCTGAAGCTAGCAGAGGTTGGTTTAAGAGGTTTAAAAAAGAAGCTGTGAAGCAGCAAGTGCTGATGGAGAAGCTGCTGCAAAAAAAAAAGAAGATCTAGCCAAGATAACTGATGAAGGTGGCTACACTAAGCAACAGATTTTCAATGTAAACAAAAGAGTCTTATAATGGAAGAAGATGCCATTTAGGACTTTCACAGCTAGAGAACAGAAGTTAATGCCTGGTTTCAAAGCTTCGGGCTGACTCTCTTGTTAGAAAAAAAAACAGCTGGTTAACTGCAATGGCGGGTTTTGAGAGGACCGACTCCAAAATCTGAAAGAAGTTCTATTGTGGGTAAAATGCTATCAAATAGCATCACATGCTGCAGAGAAAAAAAAAAAGAAAGGAAGGGTCAATCAATGTGGCAAACTTCATTGTCGTCTTAAAGAAAAAAAAAAAGCCAGTCTAACGTTACTTCAGCAACCACCAGCTTGATGAGTCAGCAGTCAAAAAAAAAGAGGCAAGACCCTCCACCAGCAAAAAGATTACAACTTGCTGAAGGCTTGGATGATCATCAGCATTTTTTAGCAGTATTTTTAAAGTATGTACATTGTTGTGTTAGACATAAAGCTATCACACACTTTACAGATGACAGTATAATGTGAACAGAACTTTTATATGCAAAAAAAAACCAAAACATTTGTGACTCTTTTGTGATTTTTGCTTTAGTACAGTGGTCTAAAAAAAAACTCACAATACCTCAGAGGTATAGCTGTACTTCAGTCTCAACTTCAAGGTAAAAAAAAAAGAGAGGTCTTTCCTGAAATATATATATATATATTTGCTTTTCCCCACAAAAAAAAAATTAGTTATTCTTAGCTCACTATTGTTTTTCCTTCCTGGCACTTAACATGATTTATACAGCTGACCCTTGGACAATATAGGGGATAGGGGCACTGATCTCCTGTACAAAAAAAAAAACATGTATAAATTTTGACTCCCCAAAAACTTAACTACAAATGCCTACTGTAAAAAAAAAGTCTTAACAGAAACATAAACAGTTGATTAACACTTACTTGGTACATATGAAAAAAAAACTATATTCTTGGAATAGAAAGAGAGTGAAAAGAAAACGTCATTAAGAAAAAAAAAAAAAAGAGAAAAAGAAAAGAAAGAAAGAGAGTGAAAAGAAAACGTCATTAAGAAAATCATAAGGAAGAGAAAATTCATATATAGTACTATACTGTGTTTACTGATACTGTACATTGATGCTGTCTTTTGGCCGGGCATGATGGCCCACACCTGTAATCCTAGCACTTTGGGAGGTAGCGGAGAGAGGATCACTTGAGCTCAGGAGTTCGAGACCAGCCCAGGCAACATAGTGAGACCCCATCTCTCTCTCTTGTTTTTTGTTTCTTGAGATGGAGTCTCACTCTGTTAAAAAAAAAGGAATGCAGTGGCGCAATCTCGGTTCACTGCAACATTTGCCTCCCAGGTAAAAAAAAATCTCCTGCCTCAGCCTCCCAAGTAGCTAACAGGCATATGCCACAACGCCAAAAAAAAATTTGTATTTTTAGTAGAGATGGGGTTTCACCATATTGGCCAGGCTGGTCTCGAACTCCTGACCTCGTGATCCACCTGCCTCGGCCTCCAAAAAATGCTAGGATTACAGGCATGAGCCACTTACCCAACCTCTTATTAAAAAAAAAAAGTTTGGCTGGGCGCGGTGAAAAAAAAATGTAATCCCAGCACTTTGGGAGGCTGAGGTGGGTGGATCACCTGAGGTTAAAAAAAAAAGACCAGCCTGACCAGCATGGAGACACCCCATCCCTACTAAAAATACAAAAAAAAAAAGGGCATGGTGGCGCATGCCTATAATCCCAGCTACTCAGGAGGCTGAGGCAAAAAAAAAGCTTGAACCCTGGAGGCGGAGGTTGCAGTGAGCCAAGATCGCTCCACTGCACTCTAGCCTGAGCAATAAGAGCAAAACTCCATCTCAAAAAAGCAAAAACAAACAAAAGTGTATGTTGTCTGTTTACAAGATGAGTTGTCTGTCTGAAATAAGGGCAACTGCAACTGCAGACCTCAATATATGGTACACATCAAGCAATTCAACTTTTTGCCTGTAATCTCATAAAAAAAAACTGCTTCTTGAGAGCACCTCCAGCATCACTAGAGGCTCTCCTCACAGGCAAAAAAAAATTATTCAGTGTTCACGGTATTGCACTAACCATGACGAAAAATATGCAAGAAAAAAAAAAGATCACTTTTTACTGCAATAAACAATTTACTGAAGTGATGAAGTGCTTAAAAAAAAATGATCAGCATTACACAGCATTTCTGTTTGTTTGTTTTGTTTTTTCAGACAGAGTCTTGCTCTGTCGCCCAGGCTGGAATGCAATGGCGTGATCTCGGCTCAATGCAAAAAAAAAAACCCTGGTTCAAGCAATTCTCCTAACTTAGCCTCCCAAGTAGCTGGGATTAAAAAAAAATGCCACCACACCTGGCTTTTTGTATTTTTAGTAGAGACGGGATTTCACCAAAAAAAAAAGGCTGATCTCGAACTCCTGACCTCAGGTGATTCACCCGCCTCGGTCTCCCAAAGTGGTGGGATTATAGGCGTGAGCCACTGCGCCCAGCCTACATAGCATTTTAAGTGTATATCTGCAACGCTTGAGCTTACTACAATAGCAACAGGAGGTGGCTATGAAATTAAAAAAAAAATACAGTATGTACTACAGTTAATTTTATGCAGATACAATTTAATATTGCAAAAAAAAAAATTCTGCATTTCTCTTGACTATGAGTAGTACCATGTATGGTCTGTGTTTGTGTGTGTATGTTTTGATAAATTTTAACTTTTTATAATAGATTTGTGTATATTTTATGAAAAAAAAAGATAAAATAGACTTGTATCTACATATATTTTATGGATTCATGACATACCAAAAAAAAATTTTTCTTTTAATACTTCTAGGCTATGTAGTTTGTCTCCAAGTATTTTCAAAAAAAAACAAATCTCCGAAAAATTTTCCAATGTATTTATTGAAAAAAATCCACATAAAAAAAAAACAGTGTAGTTCAAATCCACGTTGTTCAAGGGTCAACCATAATCTTATATAAAAAAAAATATCTGCTTAATATCTATTTTCACCATTAGAGTGCATACTCAGTGAAAGTCTGTTTAGTTCATGACTTTATTACCTAGTGCCTTTCCCAGTGCTTTACACAGAGTTGAAAAAAAAAAAATATTCGTTAAATGAATGAAGGCTTTAAAAAAGCAGAGTTGCAGTAAAAAAAAAAAATACAGAGAACTTAATTATATTGCAATATTGGTCCTAGAGCTCACAGTAAAAAAAAAAGTAAAATACATGGATCCTTTTCCATAAAGAAAGTATGTACCTAAATCCACAGATTATGACTGACACTTAATAAACTCAGTGATTTGCCTTACCAGTCCTGCGTGGGAATAGCTAAATCCTGCTTCTCGGGACACAGACCAATTGGCATGCTCTTCAATCACTGACATATCTGGGAACTTTACCACACTGCTGAACCAGTCAAACTCCAACTCTAAGCATGGAGTTTCCTAAGAGATGGAAGAAAAGCTATTATATATACATAAGAGAGAAGGCTTGACTGCCACTATAGTCAATATAAATTAGACTGTCATCTAATTTATGACAATAAAAACCTTACTTAAAAAAAAATTGATCCAGTAACACCAATAGGGTTCAGCAAATCTTCTAATCCATGAGGAAAAAAAAAAAGATTCAAAGCCATTTTTCCAGATACTAGAGTGTCTGTGTAATCAAACAAAAAAAAATTTCCCCATGCCAATGGACAGTGTTCCTTAAAAAACAAAGAAAAATACTCGCTAGTCTAAATTATAAAACACATTTCAAAACACTTTTCTTCGCCAGAAAGGAAAATAAAAAAAAAATCTCTATAATAATGGGAATATAATATCTAAAAAAAAAAGTTGATTTTTCAAAGCTTAAGCCCATTCTTTCCTTTTTCCCCATTTGAAATTACATGTATTTTAATTATAAACAGAAAATATGAACCAAAGCAAGCATGAGATATTTGCATACAATGCCTGTTATATAGTCACTTTGCATTTTTAAAAATGGTATCAATAAGAACTCAAAACATATTCATCATAAATAAATTCCTGAAGCTTTCCCAAGGTATTCTATATTTGTTAAAAATTTAAAAATAGGAAAAAAAAATTAATATTTTCTTAAATAAAAAATAACATCCATTTTGTCAAAAAATTCAAAAAAAAAAATAATCAGGAGTTTTTAAAGGTAAACATAATTCATGGGAAGGGGAACATAAAAAAAAAGGACCTGTCGTGGTTGAGGGGAGCGGGGAGGGATAGCATTAGGAGATATACCTAATGTAAATGACAAGTTAATGGGTGCAGCACACCAACATGGCACATGTATACATAAAAAAAAAACCTGCACGTTGTACACATGTACCCTAGAAAATAAAGTATAATAAAAAAAAAAAAAAAAAAGATTTACTTTATTTATACATGTTTTATTTGTCAAATAAACATCTATAAAAAAAAAAAATAAATAAATAAATAAATAAAGATAAAGGTAAACATAATTGTTCCTTTTGAAATACTTTACCTCTTTAGCACCCTTTCGGCCTTTAACAGAGCAAATGGAAAGGCAAAGTCGAGCAGCACGAGGAAGGTCAGGAATGTATATATCATAATTCAGCCATTCATTAAAAAAAAATAAAATTTTAAAGAAAAAATAATGTATCAAAAAAAGTCTTCATCCAAAGTATATAAATGACTCCTACAAATCACCAAGAAAAAGATCAACCAAACGACAAACAGGCAAAAAAAAAATTGGAAAGGCACTTTATAAGATCATATTCAAATAGTTAAACACGAAAAGAAAAAAAAAATTAGTCATACAGAAAATGAAAATTAAAATCTTATGGAGATATCACTATAAAAAAAAATGGCTAAACTATAAAGACTGATGATGCCAAGGGGTGGTAAAGTCATGCAGTAATAGGAAATCTCATACACTAAAGAGTATGGGGGTATAATTTGTTACAACCAATTTAAAAAAAAAAATCAAATAAAAGTGAGCATATGTATTCCCTGTGACCCCCAGCTCCAATAAAAAAAAAAAAACCACAGAAATGTGTGCATTTGTTAGAAGCAGAAGACATGGGTATTAAAAAAAAATGTGACTGAACTATACAACTATGGTTTGTATACTTTTATGCATGTGTGCAAAAAAAAACACTAAAAAACTTATTTATATTTATAATATATACATAATATAAATACATAAAAAAAAAATATATTATTTATATATATGTAATTTTGCTCATAAAAGTTGAATAGAAAAGGAAAACTAAACAAGGTAAAATGAGATTTCCTATTATGATTATATTTAGTTACTTTCAAAAAAAAAATAGTTTTATCCAAAGGAATCCACTAATCTAAATAAATCAGTAGGTAAATAAAGTGATGGATACATAAAGTATTTGAATTGAAGAATAATTATTTTATAAAAGGTAATAAAACTTCACATTCATAAGGGAAGAATAAAACACTGCTACAAAAAGTGAACAAGATAAAAAAATTATTCAAATTTTAATGACAAATTTCCTCAATTTACTGGGTGCTACATGTGAAATTATGTCTGTCTTTGGTGAACATATTTGTAAAGAACCACATACAATAAACAGTTTTAAAAAAAAAAATAACATTACAATAACGGATAGTGTATGGGCTCAGAAATCAGACTGGAAAAAAAAAATATTTCCCCTTTTTCACTAACTGTGTGACCCTTGCTTTGTCTTTTGCCTAAAAAAAAAAATGGGACTAATAATAGTACCTACCTTCATAAGGCTGATAGCTATCTCATAAAATTAAATGAGATAACACAAGCAAAGGAATTAGAATAGCAACTGGCCCATGATAGAAGCTCATATGTTAGACAGTAACTTTAAAAACTTTTCAAATGTCTTCTTTATCATTCTAAAAAAAAATTGATTATAAATAAAGTAATTCTTAATCAACAATAAAACAGTATAAAAATTCTATTTTTAATTAGCCAAACTAAGTAATAAACTTCATCAGTAAAATAAGTTGAATTAAAAAAAAAATTTTTGCTGAAGTATGGACAAAGATTATTTAAAATATGGTCTATTTATAGAAAGAAGACACATTTAAAATGGGGAAATTTGGCAAGAATTCTAAAGGTAAAAGAAAAAAAAAAAATTATTATTATTATTATTTTTTAGAGATAGGGTATTATGTGCCCAGGCTAAAGTGCAGTGGCTATTCACAGGCATGACACAGTGCATTACAGCTTCAAACTCCTGGGCTCAAGCGATCCTTGCCTCAGCCACCCTTAGCCTCCTGAGTATCTGGGATTTCAGATGCAAAAAAAAATGCCCAGTAATAAATAGAATTGTAGAAACACATAGAGAAAAATGTTATGAAAAAAAAATCCACAATGATTTAAAAAAAATTAGGCCGGGTGCGGTGGTTCACACCGGAAAAAAAAACACTTTGGGAGGCCAAGGCGGGCGGATCACCTGAGATCAGGAGTTCAAAAAAAAAAAAGTCGATATGGTGAAGCCCCATGGGTACTAAAAATGCAAATATTAGCTGGGCATGGCGGTGGGTGCCTGTAATCCCAGCTACTCAGGAGGCTGAGGGAGAGGTTGCAGAAAAAAAAATTTGTGCCATGCACTCCAGCCTGGGTGACAGAGCAAGACTCTGTCTTAAAAAAAAAAAAGAAAAATTAAAGATACATCTACTTAAATGTACCAGACTTTTTATTACTAAAAAAAAATTAGAAGTGGTCATAAATTAATAGTAAGTGTTCTATACTCTTTCTAAGAGAGCTATGTTCTACCAATCTACTTGTTCAGCCCTATGCTAACAAAATAAAGCATGTTTAAAAAAAAATCTAAAGTTCATCCATCCCACAACACACAAACACACACACATATACACACGCTCAATTAAGTTCTTTGTTTCTAGAAAATGGTTGTGTGTGTGTATATAGTCCAAATTGATTCTGATTTTGGGAGATACTCATAACATGAAGAAATCATAAAGCATCTAATTTATCTAGCATAAAGGAAGCAGATTTGAAACAAATAGTAAGAATTTTTAAAATCTACTTTTCAAAAAAAAAAATAACTTCATATTCACTTATCTGATTTTTTGTTTTTGTCAGCACAGAAAAAAAAAAAAAGTTTACTTACATTTTCACACTACTACCATAAATACTTCACCTTTTAGAAAAAAAAATGCTTAAAGACAGATACAGACCCTTCTAAATAGCTATTTTACTAAAATTAAAAAAAAATAATCATATATTATTAAACAAATTTATCTTTTACTTTTTTTTCTTGAGTCAGGGTATCACTCTGCCCCCCAGACTGGACTGCAGTAGTACGATCATGGCTCACTGCAGTCTCAACCTCCCTGGGCTCAGGTGATCCTCCCACCTCACCCTCCTGGGTAGCTGGGACTATAGTTACACACACCACGATCCCAGGCTAATTTTTTGTATTTTTGGTAGACTCTGTTTTGCCATGTAGCCCAGGGTGGTCTCAAACTCCTGGGCTCAAATGATCCATCTGCCTTAAAAAAAAAAAGTGTTGGGACTATAGGCATGAGCCACCACGCCCAGCCTATCTTTTACAAAAAAAAACTAGTTTAACTTTTGGTACGTGAAACAGCTAGCTAGGATAATTCTATCCAAAAAAAAACTGGGGTCTTTGCTTGGGGCTTGTTGAACTCCTTGGATTGATAGGTTTAAAAAAAAAACCAAATACGAAAAAATTCTGGCTATTATTTTCTAAAATGTTGTTTTTCTAAAAAAAAAACAACCACCCCACTAATCAGTGTGAGGCATACGGTATGAGTGGGATATAAACTCTTGTTTTGGCAAGAATTTAAAAAGATCCTGGCCGGGCATGGTGGCTTATGCCTAAAAAAAAAGCACTTTGGGAGGCCGAGGTGGGTGGATCACCTGAGGTCAGAAGTTCAAAAAAAAAAAGGCCAACATGGTGAAACCACTCTCCACCGAAAATACAAAAAAATTAGCTGGGCGCAGTGGCACGTGCCTGTAGTCCCAGCTGCTCGGGAGACTGAGGTAAGAGAACTAAAAAAAAATGACTGTACTCCAGCCTGGGCCACAGAGTGAGGCTTTGACTCAAAAAAAAAAAAAAAAAAAAAAAAAAAAAATCCTGAAGTTGTTTGTTGTCACAATCTCATTTCTGAAAAAAAAAATATGCTTTTTGACCTACAATGGTTTATGCAGGCTGAGGAACTATCTTCAAAAAAAAAGGCAGACAAGGCTACCATCTCTTTGAACTTTACACAGGCTCTAGAAGGGTGGCAATCTTTAGCAACAAGACCAGAACTTTTTCTTGAATGTCTTAGAACTCAGTCTAAAAAAAAAATGAGATTTACTTCAGGAGGAGTCACTAGTTAGCTCTATTGTTATTTTATTATAAAGTCCAGTAACAATTTGAGTTCTCTTGAAATATTACTGCTATTATATTCAGGGGTACTCTTATTCCAAAATGACTCTATAGAGAGAAGCAAAGAAATGCAGGATAGTGAGCAAAAAAAAAATACTACTTTTTATTTCTTCATCACATCCAGGCAGTAATAATTTAAAATAAAAAAAAAAACTCCCTCTCCCCCTAATAAATTAATTTGCTCCCAAAGACCCTTTATTAAAAAAAAATAAATATCTATTCTTGGGAGTGATTTGAAGGAAACTGCCTCAGGGTAGTTTGGTTATGGAGTTGTTTGCCAACTCTTACTTCTCCTTCATGTGAATGATGATGGAGACAGGAAAAGAATAAAATGCTAGGTTTTTAATCTAATGTGGGGAATCATTAGCATAAAAAAAAAAAAATACTCTGCTCTCTCTTTGATACAATGAAAAGAGACAATCAGAAACTATTAAAAAAAAACTTTAGACAGAATCAATAAAATAATCCTGTGACTGATACTCATTTGACAAAAAAAAAAGCTGGTCTATATATATATTTCTGGTTAATTTATTAAAATATAGCTTGTAAAAAAAAAATGATGAAGTATAAAAAATATACTTTTTTTTTCTGAGATCAGATCTCACTAAGGCTGGAATGCAGTGGCACGATCAGAGCTGACTGCAGCCTGGAACTCCCAGGCTCAAGCAATTCTCCTGTCTCAGCCTCTCTAATTCCCTAATGGCTGGGACTACAGGCACGTGCCATTGTGCCTAATTTTTTTATTTTTTGAGATGGAGTCTCGCTCTGTTGCCCAGGCTGGAGTGCAGTGGTGTGATCTCAGCTCACTGCAACCCCAGCCTCCCAGGTTCAAGAGATTCTCCTGCCTCAGTCACCCGAGTAGATGGGATTACAGGCACCCACCACCCTCTGGCTAATTTTTTAAATTTTTAGTAGAGTTGGGGTTTCACCATCTTGGCCAGGCTGGTCTCAAACTCCTGACCTTATGATTCACCCGCCTCAGCATCCCAAAGTGCTGGGATTACAGGCGTGAGCCACCGTGCCTGGCCAGTGCCTAGCTAATTTTTAAGAAAAACTTTTTGTAGAGATGGGGTCTTGCTTTGTTGCCCAGGCTGGTCTAAAAAAAATACTACTTTTATTGATCACACTAAAAAAAAATAATATAACCTTTGGAAATATAAGTCTATATACTTCCTCACCTGGGATTAAAAAAAAATACTCTTTGAGTGTTCACATTGTCACATAAGGGTTCTCCTCCATGGTAGAAAAAAAAACGAACATAGATCTAAAAGAAAAAAGTATGTATTTACTAATGTATACACTAAAAAAAAAGATATGCACACACTAGATAGAATCAAATATAAAACCACGGAATTTTTGTAAAAAAAAAGCTTGGCTCTCCTTTTCTTCACATATATAATAAGTTAATACTGATGTAGAGTCTTCACCAAAATTAGTTGCTGCCTTCATCCACTAATAACAATGGAGACGTCAGACAAAAAAAAAATAAATATAGGTCCACAATCCCTTTAAGACAGGTATGTAATTCAGAGCTTCCATATTTTAGAAAGCTAAATTAGTAAACGTACTTACTAAATACTACTTTCCTTAGCAAAAAAAAAAGTACCTCATAAAGACATTAATATTTCTTTAATAAGATACATGAATATTAAAAAAAAATGGGGTTAATAAAGACTATTAAAACCCTCACTTAAGGTTGGCTCAGGTCAAAAAAAAAAATGAATTCTGTAAAACTTTTGATTTTAAGAGATAGAATTGTGAATATTAAAAAAAAAAACAAAGGACTGTGAGCTGTATAATAGCTAAGGTAGATGGAAGCTCAAGTAAAATTCATGATATATTTTTACATTCGGAGATTTGGGTGTTGTCCTAACCATCTGAAAAAAAAAAACAGGTCAACAGATTACTGCATAGTTCAAGAAAAAGGTTATATAAAATAAATTCTATAAAATAATAAGCATTAGCATTTGACTTTACCTTATCAATGTCTCGAATATTTACATTCACGTAGGTTGCACAAAGAATTTTTATTCTCAGTGCACTATTTATAACCCAAAAAAAAAAAGTAGATGTTTCTCCATTCATATATGGTGTAGCTGTGGAAATGCGTCTGGAATAAGATGGCATTGTAAAACAGTCCATTGGCAGTTGAGAATAAAGGCTTTCTTTAGCCATCAACATCAAATTGGGCATCCTCCCAAGCATTATACAGCTTCTTATATACTGTAAGAGATTAAGGGGGCAAGCCATTTCCTGTAAGATTTTTCATTTTAAAAGTAACATGTAAGAAAAAAAAAAGAATGTACATATTAATCTGCAAAGGCGATAAACATTATAGACCACATTAAAAAAAAACTGCTATAACATTTAAAATACTAACATTTAGGATTTAGGTTGAAGCACAAGATCAACCAAACACTTCTGAATATAAATTGCATAAAGAAAAAAATTAAGGTCAACTTTTGAAACTATAGTTCTACCCTTAACTGGAGGCCAAAAAAGGAATTAAAAACAAGGATCAAAAAAAAATCATTATGAAAACATTGTATTTGGTAATAGAAAAGCAGTATCACTTAGGAAAAAAAAATCATTCAATCTATTAAGTCATACTGATGTCCCATCCAAAGGCTGCTGTTAAAAAAAAATTTTTGTCCAAACGTACTGAGAAACATTAGTTTTGCTAAAATTAAAACAAAAAAAAAAAAATAGTGGAGACCGGTAATATTATGGATAAATATTTACAAAAAATACTAAAAAAAAAGGTCTGAATTTCGAAATGGTAGTTAGGATAGAGATTTTTAATATAAATGAAAAAAAAAATGCATTATTTTCCTACCCATAAGCCCCACTAGACAATAAGCAACCTGAAGGCCAGGACCAAGTTTTATTTGGTATTGTAAATTAGTACTTGACATATGCTTGGCACAAAAAAAAATGCTTCTTATAGGTATTTATTTAATAAATAGAAAAAGAGAGTAGGAAAGTACCAATAGTGTATCTTAACAGTAGGTCATGGATTTTTTGAAATGTCTATTTCAATCCAAAAAAAAATCACTGGTTGGAGGGGATAAAAATCACGAAATAGGCTGGGCATAATGGCAAAAAAAAATAATCCAAGCACTGTGGGAGGCCGAGGTGGGAGGACTGTTTGCGCCCAGAAAAAAAAACCAACCTGGGCAATATAATGAGACTTTGTCTCTAAAAAAAAAAAAAAAAAAAAAAAAAGGGTATGGTTGGTGGCACATGCATGTGGTCCCAGCCACTTAGGAGGCTGAAAAAAAAAGATTGCTTGAGCCTGGGAGGTTGATGCTGCAATGAGCCATGATCATACCAAAAAAAAACAGTCTGAGAGGCAAAGCGAGACCCTGTCTCAAAAGACAAACAAACAATAACAACAATAACAAAACCCATGAAATAGCTATATTTGGGAGCTAGAGTAACTGCCAACAAAAAAAAACTCTCAAATGAATTAATCACAGAATTAAAAGAATAAACTTACAAATGCTAAAAAAAAATATTACTTATCAATAAGTATATTCTAAAAATACAGATACTTGGTTGGGCACGGTGGCTCATGCCTGTAATCCCAGCACTTTGGGAGGCCAAAGCGGGTGCATCATGAGGTCAGGAGATCAAGACCATCCTAGATAACACGGTGCAAACCCTGTCTCTACTAAAAATACAAAAAATTAACCAGGTGTGGTGATGCGCGCCTGTAGTCCCAGCTACACGGGAGGCTGAGGCAGGAGAATGGTGTGAACCTGGAAGGCGGAGCTTGCAGTGAGCCAAGATCATGGCACTGCACTCCAGCCTGGGCGACAGAGCGAGACTCCATCCCCGCCTCAAAAAAAAAAAAAAAAAAAACTCATCCTCAATGTGATTACTTTTTAAATTAAAAATTAGTATTTTGAAACTTGTTACTCACCTTATACTGACTCAGAGGATATTTTTCTAGGAAGTATTCATCACAAAAAAAAAATTTTAAAATATACTTGCCCTGATATTCTAAAACACAGAGTTTTAGCTGTAAAAAAAAAAGCAACATACTTCGAGTTTTTTTCCTGATTGCTTCAGCAATTACTTGTTCTGGTACACAGTCATGGTTGATTTTCAGAGTATACTTCTGCTTGTCATTATTTGGAGAAAAAAAAAACCAAATCACCACTATTATTTGCCCTATAACAGGAAAATATTATTAGATGAAAAAAAAATATCTCTTTCATTTTTCAAGGGAAAAATTTGAACAAGTGTGCACTATCATTACTTTATCCATATCAGAAATGCTTTTTAATCAGCCCAATTAAAACTAGGTAAATATAAAAAAAAATAGAAAATGTTCATATCTGAGCGGGCTGCCAGACCATTCCCAACTCTCATGTTTTATGACAAGCACACAAAACTGTGACAAGTGGGTCACAAGTATCTGAGACCAAAAAAAAAAAAATTCTAAACTGTATGACATTACTGCATGGGTACTGCTCCTGTGAACAGTAAAAAAAAATGGTATCAAAGGTTCGACAGTGCCTAAGGTGAAAGAGTTTCTGGTAACCATGGGAAGTAAAGAAAGAACCAACGGAGGCTTAAAGATGTTGAATTAGAATGACAGAAAATGTGAGGGAGGAAAGGTAAGAAAATCAAGAGGGGAGAGGAAATGGATTGTCTAATTAAAAAAAAATAAGATTAACTAAGCCAAGAGGCCAAAAAAAAGAAAAGAGAAAGATGGAGAAAATGGGAAGACAAACTATGTAGAGAGGCTTGGGTGTTCACAGTAAATTTCTTTCAAAAAAAAAATATGTTGAAAATTTTTCACAAAAAATGCTGGGGAAAATGAAAAAAGCATAAAAAAAAAAAATATATGCTAGAATAGAATTTTGAAAGATCTTATGTTGCATTAAACTAAAAAAAAAAATACGGATAAAATAGTAATAAGATGTCTTAACTTAGTCTACTGATAGAATTTGATATTTAATAGTGTGTGAGAGTTAACTCAAACTGATAATTTTACTTTGTTACCAAAAAAAAAACAGACATTTATCTGATACAGTGACATGCATTTCGAAAACAATATAGTTTATATAGTTTCCTGTTCACTTAATTCTAGAAACTGATACATTAAATGTCAAAAATCTAAAAAAAAAATATCACTCATGATCAGAATTACTGCATTTAATATTTAGGAAAATTACTTAAAAAAAAATGGTGTATTTATGATATGTAACAACAAGAATGTATAAAGTTCTCCCAAAAAAAAAAAAAATGTTTCTATTTATACTTGTTTTTATTTATGAAAAGATAATCAGCTCTAAAAAAAAATACTAAAAAATAGTAAATTTCAAACTCATACTTCTTCCACTTTATATAGACAATTTACCAAGAAATCAGTATCATATTCATACAAAAATTCAACCAATAAATATTGAAAAAAAAAAATTTGTATTTAGCACTCAACTATGTCTTGTCAGTATAAGCAGTCCCTGCCTTCAAGCAGCTTACTATCTAGCTGGAAAAAAAACAAAAACAAAAAAGACTACACAAAAAAAAAAAAACAGGTAGAAGACTGCACTATAGTAACGATTAGAGTAGATTAGTCATTTTCTTACCTTTATCTAATTTATTATATATGTGCTTTGGCAATTCTGGCGAAGATTCTACAAAAAAAAAATAGACATACATTGCTCTACTATGAGGTGAATTGAGATCCCTAAGATCCACAGCTTCTTTACAAACATTCAGAATATTTCTTCGGAAGTCCTGTACTTCTGGATCTTTAACCATATCAAATTCACACACTGGCATGCCAATAGCAAAACCTTTAATAAAATTACAAAAAAAAAATAACATTCTATTACATACATAGTATGAACATGTTTTTTTACAAACAGGGAACTCTGTAGATTTGGAAGATCACAACAGAGTAAAAAAAGTACCTCTAGGTGAAAAAAAATTTTTGATGAATGCATATATATTAAGAGTTGATAAAGTCCCAAATATTTTTAATACAAAAAAAAAAATATATTCAGCAATTTAGAGCAAAGGCAGCAAACATTCCTATCAATCAAAAAAAAAAGAATAACAAAATTGAGATATAACAAATCTAAGTCATCCTCCAAATGATAAAAAAAAAATAAAACCTTATGGAATAATATCAAGGTGTTAAAAATAGTTCCATAGTTCGATAGTAAAACATACTTTAGATTTATAATGATTTTTATTTAGAAAGCTATTTAAGATTAAAAAAAAATTGGTTTAGACAGAAATATTTTAGTAAGAGACAACAGTTAAGCTTCATAGTGATTTGCATTTTAGAATAGGATACTGTATCATACCAATTTCTCGATTGAGGATCTTAAAAAAAAAGTTGCCTACTGGTTCAATTACTTTTAAAAAGGGTTGAAAAAGCCGAAGGTCACAAAGTCGTCTTGTTTCATCAAAAAATTCTTCCCTTTCTGCTTCTTGGGTAACACAAAAAAAAATGTAAGAAGATTCATCTTGAAGAAGTTGATGGAGGGGGTATTTTCTTGCTTCTTTAAATAGTTCATGCTTTATGGTTATTAATGTAGCCTCACGGAGGCATTCTAAAGTCACTATCATTCCATTTGGTAGTAAACATTCTACTAGGATTCTTGGGGGCATCAAGTAAAAAAAAAACAGTTCACCTGATGATGGTCGTGGAGGCATTGTTCTGATTTTTTGCAGGTTTTACATATAAAACTACTTTAAGGAATTAGACGTATGGTTGTCCCAAAGCAGAAACAAAAAAAAAAGAAGGAAAACGTAAGTTAAAAGAGATACAACTACAGAATACATTTGTAAAAAAAAAAAAATGTAAAAACTAATTTTCCATGGTTTGACGTGACTAGGCTAAGTAGTAAAAAAAAATCTTAAATATTTTAATCGAGACTGTTGCTCTAAATTAGGCTATAAAGAATTTATTTCAGCAGAGATTAGAAAAACCACTTGTATTTAATTAAATTTAATAAAGTCATTTAAGAAAACATTATATATATTTGAGTGGATTTTCTAAGTCAGGTTTCATCAAGCCAGAGATAAGGCTATGGGAAGAATGAAAAGTAAGCTGCAATTCAACCCAAAATTCCCGTTGCATATCACCTTTATTATTCTCTTCTATCTTATGGAACAACAGAATTTAGGCCAGAAAGAATCTTTTAGATCATGGGTCCACTGCTCTTATTTTAAAATAAGTAAAACCATGCCTAGAGAAGTCAAATCCTTTTCCTTTTTCACTCTCTGCCCTCATTTCACTCTCTGCCTCATGTAATAATGAGAAATTTTATGGCTTAGTCTTTTCTTTCTTAAATCAATCTTTGTAATTTAAAAAAAAATTTTTGTGTTGATTCTTATCTAGGTGATATCTTAGACATTCTGTTCTTAAAGTATGATTTAGGTATATATTCACAATATTAGAAAGTGTCATCAATGATTTTTCCTTAAAAAAAAAGGATGAATTTGTAATGATCTACCTACTTTCTCAAATAACCCAGTCCTAACACTTCTCACTGAAATGAATCTACACGTAAATAAGATCCATGACTCTCTTTGTCAGTGAAAAAAAAAAATCAGTTTGTAATATTTTAAAAACTATTAAGTATTAATTATGAGTTGAAAAAAAAAAATTTTTTAAGACATCAACAATCCTGGGGGTCTTTTAGAAGATATTATCAAAAAAAAAAAAACACAAGTTTACTTCTTGCTGTTTATATTTTCTTTTATTCAGTGAGTAAAAAAAAAAGAGTATATCAAAAGGCAAAGTGAGAGATACCAAACAAGAAAAAAAAAGAAAAAAAAACTACAGAAATGAATCAAAAAGGCCCAGATAATCTACTATATTTGATTAGAAAAAAAAAACTTGTAGGTAACAGCTATAAATGACACTGTTTGCTTATGCACCAAAAGAAAAAAAAAGCTATCCCCAGGACTATGTTGGGTGTGGGAATCGAATGACGAATAATATAAAAAAAAACCTTGCCTTCACAAGACAAAGCAAAGAATATGAAGATTATGTGTATGCTAAAAAAAAAGTAATTAAATTCACACTTACAAAACAGAATAAATGCTATCCTGGAGAAGAAAAAAAAACTATAAAAGCACATAACACGGTCATCAAGTTTGGGGTGGGAAGGTTTCCAAAAAAAAATAACATAAACTTAATCCTTTAAAGATAAGCGGCCAGGCGCAGTGGCTCAAAAAAAAAATTTCAGCACTTTGGGAGGCTGAGGCGGGTGAATCACGAGGTCAGGAGTTAAAAAAAAACCTGACCAACATGGTGAAACCCCGTCTCTACTAAAAATACAAAAATTAGAAAAAAAAAATGGCACATGCCTATAATCCCAGTTACTCAGGAGGCTGAGGCAGGAGAATTGCTTGAACCTGGGAGGCAGAGGTTGCAGTGAACCTAGATCGCTCCACTGCACTCCAAAAAAAAAAACGGAGTGAGACTCCATCTCCAAAAAAAAAAAAAAAGGTAAGAGTTGAACAAACACAAGAAAGAGGAGAGGAAACCTGCCATCCCTTACTCCTCTCTCCATCTCACAAAAAAAAAAATCTAACCCATGAATAAGCTTCATTAATTCTCTATTCTGTCTACACTCTAAAAAAAAACACTCTGTGGTATTTGGGCTGGTCATCACTATTTCTTTTCTGGACCACTGCAAAGGCCTAAATGGTCTCCCCGAATCTATGCCTGCCCCCTATAATCCATCTCCCCTCATAGCCAGAGTGACTTAAAGAGAGCGAGAGGGCCTAATTTGATTATACATTTATGCTAAAAAAAAACTTGGTTGCAAACAAATAATTATGGTATGCTTCAGAGTTATAACATATAAAGGATGTGAAGAGTAGGAATAGCAGAAATTTTTAGCCTTTTTCCCACCCACAGAAATACAGAAATTAACTGGAAACAATGAAGGATGTAAGAAAATTATTTTTTGATAGTTGAAACTATTTTTCTTCAAACTTATAAAAGAGATCCACTGAACTTATAATATTTAAAATAATTGTCCTATTTCCTACATGTAAAAAATTTCATTGGCTAGTAAAAAGACCAGATGGATCAAAAAAAAAAAACAATCATAGAAGTGACTTAAATTTTTTTAAACCTACAAAAAATTTGAAAAAAAAAAAGGAAAACGCCAAATGACTACTTTTAAATGACATGCCTGCATAAAAAAGTAAAAAAAAAAACAAAACCAAAACCACAAGCCACACAAAAACAGCAGCTGTGTTTATGATTTTTCTCTGCTGAACGGCACTGACAGGTCTCTATTATGGAACTACTGGAGCAACTATTTTATATAATAAACAACAACCCACAGGGAACCCTCATATGTTCCCTAAGTATTACTAAAAAAAAAAACTAGTTAGTATAGTAGACAGATCACTGGTTTTATTCCTTATTCTACAGTAAAAAAAAAATGGGTAATTAACTATTAAATACTCAAGACACACCCTTTTCATTAAGAGAATAAATGAGATTATGGTAATAAAACACTTGTTGATCCTGGAAGGCAGGCACGGGTTGAAAAAAAAATAGACAGAATGACAGCCTTTTTATTTGTCAGATGGTTATTTGTCTTCTCAAAAAAAAACTTATTCTGTACAAACCATTACCCCCGGGTTCACATAAAGTGTAGAAGTAAAAAAAAAAACTAACATTTGTTTTTTGAGTATGTACCATGTACTTGGGTGGGCAGTAACTCTATTGAGGAAGATAGTATCATTTTACATATGAGAAAACTGAAGATCAGAAGTGAAGTCACTTGCCTCCAATACATGGATTTTGAATCCAGGTCTAGATTATTTTAAAGCCCAAAAAAAAAACATGCTGTTATTTGGGTTTCAGTTATGGCCAGGCAATATTCACCGGTAGTGAATAAGAGAATGAGCTCTAATTTGAATCTACACTAGATTCAAATTTTGGCCACCTTAAAAAAAAATTGTATGGCCTGGGGTAGTTTAGTTCATCTCATTGAATCTCACTTTTCCCATTTGTTAAATTGGGATAATAATGGCATCTACTTCATTGAACTGTTGTGAAGATAGAAAAAAAAAAATATGAAAAATACATAAGCACAGAGATCAGCACACAGTAAGCACTTAATAAAAAAAAAACATTAGTAATAAACTTGTAAAGCATTACCAACATTATCTTTTCAAGCTTATTAGGAATTATACACTGCTGGCACCAGATGGGGTAAGAAAAGGTTTTCGGAATTTTAAAAAAAAATAACCAAGAAGGCAAGTAAATAAGGAGCTTCATAAAGAAGTTATATTTCAAAAAAAAATACCTGAAGGTAGCAAGGCTCACACACAAGCCTGGAAGAGTACCGAGTGGCTCAGATGCCGGTGCTTTCCCAGCTGCTTCCAGTTCCCCAGATTCCCAGGATTCCTAAAAAAAAAATATAGCTATCTACAGCTTAGGTGTCGGGAATCCCTTGTTATCTCTCTCTAAAAAAAAATTGTTGAGAAGTACCTGCTTAATGTCAGTCTCAAGGCTAAGTATGGTACAAAAAAAAAGGTTAAAAAGATGCTTTCCCTTCTGCAGTTAAGGGCCTCATAGTTTACTGGGGAATGACTTTAACAATGTGGTAATTGTTACAAGATAGAATATGAACAATGGAAAAGCCTGAGGAGATTAAGGAAGGCTTCAGAGAGGTAAAGTTTCAGTTGAATATTATAGATAAAAAAAAACACAGAGAGGGTATGGCCTGAACGTAAGAGAGCCTATAGAAGGGTGTTCTAGATTGCCACAAGAGAGTGTGTATAAAGTCAGACCATGAAAGAATGCGGCCTGTTCCAAAAAAAAAAAGCTGTTTTTTATTACTTGAGTCTAAAGTGCATGGGAACAGGTGGAGTAAAAAAAAAAGAAGGAGAGGTGAAAGGTAGGTAGGGGCCAGATGTAAAAACATGTTAGAAAAAAAAATTTATGTTGTACACTGTTAGTAAAAGGAAGACTCTGGGCTGGGGGCTGTGGCTCACACCTGTAATCCCAGCACTTTGGGAGGCTGAGGCAGTAGGATCGCTTGAGCTAAAAAAAAACAGACCAGCCTGGACTCAAGACCCCATCTCTACAAAAAACAAACAAACAAACAAACAAAGTAGCCAGGTGTGGTGGTACATGCCTATGGTCCCAGGTACTCAGGAGGAAAAAAAAAGAAGATCTAAAGCCTGGGAGGTCAAGGCTGCAGCAAGCCATGATGGCGCAAAAAAAAACCAGCCTGGGCAAGAGCGAGACCCTGTCTCCAAAAAAAAAAAAAAAAAAAAAAAAAAAGTATTTCGAGCTAAAAATGACATGATGCTTTTAAAATGATTTTTAAATTAAAAAAAAATTCTTTAAAAATTGCTTTTCAAGTGTAGGTTATAATCAAATGAACATTCAAGTGTAAAAATTACATATTCTCAATTGTCTAGAGAAAAATCCCTAAAATTAAGAAATAAAAAAAAATAACATTTTAAATAAAAGGGCCTTTAGACTACAGAAAAAATTAAATACTAAAAAAAAAGATGGAATTATTAAATTTAAAGCAATAGAGGGGGATAAATCACTATAAAAAAAAAAAATCCTAATGTAGTTTGGAGGTTTGAGGTCACAGAATTAAAAACGTATTTAAAAAAAAAAAAACACTTTAAGGGTCAAGAAACCAGTCTATTGAGGTTTTGAGTTCAGAATGCCAGGACTAAAGATTCATATGCATATTGACAAATTACTACTATCTGGAAGTCTTAAAAAAAAAAAAA